ATATGTAACAACTGCTGATTCAATAACTGGTGCCTACATAACAAAATGGTACAAACGTGCTTCCTCTTTTTATACCAAGAATCGAGATACGCCGACAACCTGTAGATTCTGCACGAAGAAAATTACCCTAAAAATAATGAAAGATTTTTTTATATATCCTTATATATAATTCATTCATATATCACATCACAATCTTACGTTTACAACTCAATATAGATTTCTAGTGAACCACTAAGAAAACAAATATTTGAATCCAAAATAAATTCCAAAACAAATAGGATAAGGATAGGATTGAGGGGAGCGAAGAAGCTTATAGTTTTACAAAGATGTTTATTTTTATATTTTTTTTTATCTATGCGCAATTTTTCTACCAGAAAACTTGCTCAGGTTTTTAATTTTAGCACCTTTTCTAAAAGGAAATCGGTGTAAGGAGGTTCTTTAAGGAGGTATTTTTTCGATTTTGAAAAATCAAAAAAAAACCTAAGAAAAAACGGGAAAATATATGAAATGTTGGTATTAGTTGAAATACATTACAGCCTTCTTTTTTTCTGTGCACAAATTTTCTATCAGCAAGTTTACTCCAATTTATAATAGTAGCAATTTTTCTAAAAGGAAATTTGACTGAGAAGGTACTTCAGGGAAGTAATTTTTCGATTTTCCTTAGAGTATTCCCAAGAAATGTGAAAAACCGGGATAAAATATGGGAAAACCTGGACAAATGTAAGACAACTGGGAAAATCGGTACAACATTAAATAAATATTATTTAAGAATATATATTTTGATATTAAGTACAAATTAAATGCAATGGACAATAATAAAGATATATCTTTATCATAATATTTATATAGTGATGCCGTGTGGAAAGTGTAATCAGGTATTTCCCGGATATAAAGGCTATATGAACTACACGCAGCAATAATTTTCATACAACATGTACAAATCTTAAAACACTAGCAAACAATAATAATGCAAAAGATAGCTAGAATCGCGAAACTTGGACTTCTAATTTGCAAAATGTTTCATCAAGTAAGAAATTGTACATTTACTACAACATAAATGCAGTGAAAATTACAATTGTCATTCGGTAAAAACTAAATTAAATAATGTATTGCATAAAATTGAATCACTAGAAGTGGTAGTAAAAAAGATTTCTGATATAAAAAATAAAATGCTTATTTACGAACTTAAATGTAATAAATTAGAAAAAGAAGTCACATTTCTAAAAACAGTAATTAATAATAATGAACAAAAATAATGCTGTCAAATAATATTGAGATCACTAGTATTCCAAAAATTGGCAATGAAAATATTACTGAGGAGGTAAAAACATTAGCACAGTCATTAAAGTGTGATGTTCAAGATTGTGATATTTTTGACGCTTTTAGGGGTAAAGCATACAAGAATATGGACAATAATATATATGCACACCTAAATTTAACGAATATCAAAGAATTGTTTATTAAAATACAAAACTTTGATACAAAAACAATAATCCTTTATTAGCTAATGAAAACTATATGAATTTCCCGAAAAACAAAATATTTATTAATGATCAATTACCCGACGTAATAGAAAATTATTATAGATATCTAAGGAAGTCGTAAAAAACTTTAATTATAAAAATTTACATGGGTAAATATGAGCAGAATTTTTACACGAAAAGGAGACGGAGAACAAGTCATTAAAATTCATAATCTAGAAACTTTACAAAAAATAGATCAAAATAAAAAGATAGCTGAACTATAGAACAGTGGATTGAGATTGATTGGTATTTGAAGATAATTTTTTTTTTTGATTGTGGATATATTTTTTATTTTTCATGTTATCATTAATTTTTTTCAATGTAAAACTTTCATAATTATGAATTTAATTTCTTAAATGAAGATTATAATCTATCATATTCCACCGAAAATTGTTTATTCTGTAATTTAGTTCTTAATTTGAATATCCATAGTATTACAAAACGTTTCGACGAGCTTATTATATTGTTTAAGTTCATGTGATTTTGTTTTTAATATTATTTGTTTATGTGAAACTTAGTTAGAAGCAAATACACTCAAATTTGAAATTGATTGTAACATAAATTATAACTTTTATCGACAGCTAAATAAATCAGATGGAATTTCTGTATTTATCTGAAATTCAGTGAAAGTTAATTATATTAAATTAGGAAAGATTGATCATTTTAATTCTATATTTTTTAATTTTCTATATAATAACTCAGTATTAAACTTGACTTGTATTTATCCCTCACAAAGCTTATTTGTAACACATTTTTTAAATAGTCTGGAAGATTTTCTTAGTAAGGAATTCGATAACAGCACTCATATTTTTTGCGGTGACATAAATATTAACAGTAGATATAAATTCAGTCAATTATCAAAATATCATAAGCTCTTATGGTTTTAAATCTTGGGTAAAATGAAACCACTAGGAATAATATCAATAGTCAGTCTTTTTCATGTATTGATCATCATGATTTTTAAAAAATGTTAGAGGATATGTATGTCAAAATAATATTATAGATCATTTTTGTACTATATAAAAATTTAACAAAAACTTTAGTAAATAACACAGGTGAATTCAATAATAAATTAAAAGATTTTCCTGATATAAATAAACTTAAAAAAATTCTAAATAATGAAACTTAGTATAATGTTTTACACGCTAATAATGTAAATATTGCTATTAACAATTGTCATCATACTTAAGACTTAGCAATAAAACTTTTTAATTATACAATACCAAATTATTTACCTAGCCGTAAAAAAAAAACTTAAAGATTGGATTACTGCAGGTCTTATTATCTCAATTCGAAATAGGGATAAAATGTATAATAAATTAAAATCACAGCCTTTTAATGTAAATCTTAAACATAAATTTATAGTTTATAGAAATATCTTAACTAGAGTTATTAAATTTGCGAAAGATGGGTATCTCTATAGGTATAATAAAGTAATTAAAAATAGAGGTGATACTAAAACCATCTGAAAAATCTTAAATGAATCACTTAATGAAAAAAATTAATATACACAAACTAATATTTAGAATATATTTGATGATATAAAAAAAGAAATTGACTGATAACAATATTATTGCAAATAAATTCTATAATTATTTTGTAAAAGTCTGAGAAAATAATGCAAGTAAAATAAATGCTCTAAAACCTGACGACACTTTTCTTCCTAAAACGTACACTAACCCTTAATCTATTTTTTTAAAACCTATATCAAAAGAAGAAATAAAAAAATACATTCTACATTGTAAATATGTAACATTTTTATATACTAATGGCATTTAATAATTATGTTCTTAAAAAAATGTATGAAAAAACAAATTTATTTTTTTTATACTTGTTCCTTTAAACCAAATTATTTTATATTTATAATTAATTTAAAAACTTTTTGTTTCTTATAACAACAATTTTTTCCCCGATTTTTCACATTTTCTAGAAAATTTCTTGGGAAAATCGGAAAAAATACTTCCTTAAAGTACCTTCCGAGTCAGATTTCCTTTCAGAAAAAGTACTATCATTGTAAATTGGAGCGAAATTTCTGGTAGAAAATTTGTGCACAGAAGAAAAAAATGTCTCTTCGCATCAGATGATTACGTTTTATTTTTGTTCGTTTATAAATGCAATTAAAAAACATATGAACCGACGATACTAATAGCAATGGCATGATTAATATCAATGTTTAATATTATAATTATTTTACTTTTTACTTTTACACAGGAAAAACAAGGCCGTAATATTTTTCAACAAATACCTATATTTTTTACATTCGTCTATTTTTCCTCAGTTTTTAGATTCTGAGTGGAACGAAAAATGTTTTGGTTTTACTAAAATGTTTATTTTTTTTTTTTTTATACTGAGTATTAAAATTCTAGAAATTACTAGAAATCATGGTCCAATATATACGCACGGCACCATTCCCGAAAGGAAATATTATCTAGATGGTACTTTTGGGAGGTCATTTTTTGATTTTCCAAGCGATTTTTATAATATCTGGGAAAAACTAGAACAAAACATAAAAAAAACGGGAAATATACGAAATTAATGCATTAATTATTTAATCAATTTTGTTATTTGTTGTAATTCAGTTAAAAATATTCTTATCGAAATTATGGATATGAAATTTGGATAGACAAATTATATTTACTTTATGTAGACGTGGTAAAATTTTCAAAAACTTTAAACCATTTTAGAGCTAGACATTAAAATTTTGCGAGTTTTGTACGTAATTTGTATTTAGTAGATACTGTGTGGTACAATTGTTTGACCCGGGAGGTAGGGTGCAGAGTGTGCAACTGCTCCTCCTGCAGACAATTCTTGTATTAATATTTAAATCCTGAAATCTCGGTTTCCCAACGCTCTTTACAAAAAATGTATTTTTATTGTTTTTTCAATAAGAAATTTGTTCTTGCAAAATATCAGTGAATAATAAGACATGCTTCATAAAATATTCTGTTATTTTGTTGTTAATGAACCTGGCTTTATATTTTTATATAAATGGTTATCATTACTACAAGACTGTTTTCATTTATTTATTATCTATGTTGGTAACTCAATCCTGATAAGGTAATTTGCTCCAAAATGTTATAACATCGCGATAGATGAAATTCGAATAGTTATTAATTGACATAACACTGTATTTTTACAAGTCACTGTGTTGTTTTTAAACGTTATGTATTACTACTTTAAATTTAATACAAAATATAATATAATAATTGAATACATACAATTGTATATTATTAATATTAAGAATGACTTCAAACAATTTAAAAAAATGAAGACTTTTTCAATCTAAAACTAAATTCTAGTAAATTAATATTTTACACTTTAAAAATATAAATAAAAAAAAAAACAATAATAATAATTGCATAGGCAATGATTTTACCATAGCTTTAATATATCTATTAAATACTATGCCGAGAAGGTCTAGTATCACCTATGAACATTGCCTTTTCAACAATATATATGTTATATCATAGCAAATGGCAATAATATTATTGATTACAACGAATTACACAGGGAACACAAATTATTTTGAACTGCACTCAGAATCGTTTTTTCGTTTGTAATGGTTTATCGTTGCATAGAGGTATACATTAAATTACTTATGACAGTGGCTGCACCCATCTCCATTATCCTAGGATGTTCTTTTTTTCGATTTTCCACATTTGATGAGAAAACTTTTGAGGAAATTAAAATGGCCTTGATGTACCTCCCCACATAGATTTTCTTTTAGAAAAGGTGCCACAATTAGGAATTGAAGGAAGATTTCTGATAAAAAAAAGTTGCGCATAGATAAAAACAAAAATAATAAAACAATTATCTTTGTAAGATGTAAAACCATAAGCTTCAAAACATTGAAACATGTATAACTTCTTACATATTGGTAATATCAAATAATAAAAACGATAAGTCAAATTTCTTGTCTTTTAATGGTGAAAATTTGATTTCTCATCTAGCACTACAACCCGAGTGGTTCTTGCCAACGTGAAATGATTTTTTCTAACAAATGTATAGATGAATAGCGTCATCTTAAGAGCAGACTCTTCACGAAGTATAATTAAAATTTTGAAAAACGATAAGTATAATTTTATAAATATACACAATTAACATAAATAAAATTGATTAGTAAATAAAATAAATTCTGTTTTTTGTATATACCTAACCTAACTGTAAGGATTTTTGCTTACTCAATTAATTTTAGTTTTTTTTTTTTTTTTTTACAAATATTGTTAAATATATTTAATATATATATATATATTAATTATAATATATTTATAAAATATCAATATAAAATGTTGAAGTATAATAAATTAATCTGCAGCAATAAAAAAAATTAATAGTTATTATTTTTCAACGCTTATGCGGAACAACGAACAACAGTATACAAATAAAAATCTGTCTTTAAATTATACATGTAAAGTTTATATTAACGTAATAGACAATTGTTTCTAAACTAACGAATATTGTAATTATATCGTGAAATTATAATAGTATAATATTATGTTGAATGTTCATTATTGAAGCACCCCGGCGCGGCAGTCCGGAGAGTTTATCATCAAACTTATACAACCACGGATAATATTTAAAATTAATTTAAGTTCGTTTAACATCTCATACCATGTTATATTTATACAATAATGATTTTACGAAATCCAAAATAAATCACACGACACAAATGCAGGAAAAAACATACATATTATAGTCAAATAATTAAGTAGGCTCTACATATTTTCTTTAATAAAATTTATTTAATGTTCTATCGATTTTCACGATTTTCCTACGTTTTTCCCGGTTTTCCTATGGTTTTTTTCGGTTTTTTTACTTTTTTGAGAAAACTCCAGAGAAAATCGATAAACGACCTCTCCAAAGTACCTCCCCGTTGAAAAAAAATATACTGTTGACAAAGCATCACTATCAAATATAATCCGCTCAGAATTGTTTTTTCGTAAGCAATTATGTATTGTTGCTTACAGATATACATGAAATTCCCGTCTATATTCTACCTTTTCAACTTCCCACCTATACCAGTTGGTGAACCCGCCCATTATCTTATCTTTTAGAAGGCAGCAAGAGAGCTTTTGGTTTTACTAAAATGTTTATTTCTTTTTAGATGGTACTTTAGAGGGATCATTTTTTGATTTTCGATGCCATGTTTTAAATAGAAGTACTGAAGTTCGAAAAAACGTAGGAAAACGTACAATTTCACGATTTCATTATTTTATATAAACACGGACAATGTTTTCTACCAGAAAAAGTGATTTAATCGAATAATCACAAAATACCTTTTTTGTTGCCTTTTCGATTTACTTTCTAACGGTAGCATGGCCAAAACTTTTTAGCCACTTTTGAGCTTTTAACAAGTTATAATTGTTGGGTTTTTTTTTCTGTAATTCGGTCATAAATACATGTAGTGACTTGATACTTAGTAATAATATTTAAATTGGACTTACTTAGACGTGGTAAAATTTTCAAAATCATCAGACAACTATTTTTCTTAATAAGCGTTTTGAAATCAAATTTAAACGAAAGTCGCATAAATTATATATAATCGAACTGCGATTGAAATCGGCATTCGTCAAACAACAGTTTATCGTTACTTACAGATATAAATGAAATAACCTTATATATCCTACCCTCTTGACTTCTCACCTATAACAGTGGCAGCTTCCATCCCCAGTATCAGCTTTTTTTTTTCATCGCAGCAACATGTGAATTTTTATTATGTCCAGAAACAGTATCAATATAACCAGTTATATTGTTTCTGGCAAATTCATCGGCAGTCTGAATAAGCATGACGCAATTTCATTTGCACCCCTTTTTGCAATACATTCATGCCAGATATGACATGTTGTAGTTCCAATTTCATGATCTGATATTGTGAAATTGTATGTCCAATAAAGTCTTTTGTAAAACGCTACTGACGTTAGTAAATCAAGTATAGTTAGACATTTTAATTTTTTATACCAATTAATTATGGGTATTATTATAAGTCGATCACCAATATTGACTTAAATCTAAATGACTAAAAATATTTTATGCTTACAATATATATTAAACACTTTACAGTATATTATAATCTATCTGAATGGAGTAAATTGACCTTTTATAAAACACTTAAATTTAGAAGATTATCTATAACCTGCAATCGGTTTTTTTTTTTTTTTTTTTTTTTTTTTTTTTGTAATTTTATCGTTTAAACGAGATATGATTATGTGAAATATCACGATTTAAAAATGCTTATACCTCGTTTAAAAATGAAAATAAAGAAAAAATACTACATTATGACACAGTTATTATTCTTCCCTTTAACTATAAATAAAAAAATGTATACATAATAATAAAAAATAAATACATTTATTAATTTATTTATTTTTGTATATAAATTTGTTTACCATATTTATTTACGAGTATTAATCATTTTAAAAATTTTGTTTTTACTTTATTATTTTACTGCTTCTCTTTAAATTTGATAATACGTCAATTCACCCTAATATTAAAAACTAACAGCACAGACTTATCCTTATTAAAAGAATATTTTCTATACCACGCGATTTTATAACGGAGACAACACAAGGGGTTATGCCGGTTATGGAATCCTCTGAAGACATCTGAACTTACATCCAACCTTACATTATTTTCAAACATGTATTGTTAAAATGTATACCGAATACTGAGGTATTTGAATATTTACTCTGAAACCTTTTTAATAGTCTATGTAATAAGTTTAATTACAAGAAATGTCATTATACGGATTCATATTATATTCTTATTATTGAGTTTTTTTTTATATATTTTTATTAAAATTATTACATCGATGAAAATACATTTAAAATTGTTGATTTTACTACCTTCATGATTCATCTAAAAACGTATTTAGCCCCCCTCCCTCCAATCAAAAATTCTGGCGACGCCACTGGTCTGAGCGGTATTAATCGAAATCCAATCATTGTCATCAGCTGCTCTTGTTTAATTTATGTTATGAAATGTTTTACTTATAATATTGCGATGTGTACTTATACACGTTGGGACCTGTCTGTCTGCGTTAGACGTAGAAAAGGTATAATTGGGTCGTACCCACAATAATAATAATAATGGACCGGGCGAACCATTTGTGCCTGCAATATATAGGTAATTTTGAAGTAGTGGATCGTCGAGACACACACCATAATTTGCCACGTATTTACTTCAGACATTGATCAATGTGCCACAATAATAATACAACAGACATATTATGTGTATATTAAACGAGGGTGTAGACGTAAACTTCAGTATAATACCTAGATACAAAATAGAGATCATATACGGTTTTGTAAATAATATTCGAATATGATATTATATAATACTTGTTGCGATTTTTCATGTGGTTAATTAGCATAAACTTATATAATATATATTATATACCAGGCGCGGTATGAAATTGAAAGGATAACTAAATTTGAAAACTAAAATAAAGACCTTACCATGCTGATTGTGATTCCTCATCATATAATGCGTTATTTTTTTGAATATTATTTGTTTTACACCTATTTTCTAGAAATTAAAACGGTTATAACAAAGCAATTATTCATCGGATATGAATATGTGATAAATTAAAATTTTTAAATACATTTTTTTTACAAAATGACTATTTTGAAAATGGTCTAAAGTGAATAAATAAAGTTATTTTTTTTGTGTGTGTTTAGAGGATCAAAATAAAAATTTAATATTAACAGCGCTAGAAAAATCCGTTGAACGCGGTGGGACACAGTATATGTTGTACTAAAATATTAAAATAAGATGACACAATAACCAGGACAAATTTCTTTCCGCCAACACTCAGAATCTTAATGACCTGGGAGCGCAAAATCACCTTATATATCGTAGTGTCGTTTCAGCGGTTTAAGTGTGCTAAGTGTTTTCTGGGTTATGCAACAGACGTAAATCTCGACTCCCGCAAAACTTGCATAATATACTTGCTTATACTTAATGAATTAATATTTAATAATCGAGGTCGAATTTTATCGCAGAGAAACGAAATATATTATCAGCAAAAATATAGGCATTTGTCATTTATTGTTCATCGATTAATATTATTTACGGAAAAATATTACGCCATCTGCAATAAGTCTCTTATTAACTATTAATACGTACTTATATACAATCGAATTTTTGCCATCATTATTATTATTAATGCGCATTATTACTTATGTGTTTTATGGAGAAAATTAAAACTCAGGGAAAAATAATCCTGAAATAAATAAGGTTTAATTTATTATTCAAGACGTATAATAGTGCATCTTAATTTTATATGTGAGTAAAATAATTTAATATTTTATTACAAAGTTTGCATTCTAGTTTTATGTATTAATATATTTATTTCAGTGAGAGAAGAAAGAAAAATAAAATGTAAATATTATTTTATTCTCATTTATCCGGATAGGACAATATGAATTATTATGGCATTACGGACAAAACAAATTTCATGCTTTAAACAAAAAAACAATTTAAATAGATAAAACGGGGAATTAAGGTGCATAAGTTTAAAAAACATATTGAACAATTGTTTCACGTGAAAAAATAGTTAATATTTTAATGCATTTCAAACTTTCGCGGAAGAAATGCTAATTTAAGTACCTACTTACTACAATATGCGGGGTAAGAATATAAGTACGATTTTTTAGACGGGCAATCGAGTAAAGTTTTAATCTTTATACTTATAAAGATAAAAACTATGTATACGATGTACCCATACGGCTATAACTACTAAAAATAGATATTATTTTATGTAAGTTACAATATTATATGAGTAGGTACATTTTTAAACCTTGTAGTCATCAATCATATAATATAATATGATAACTGTCAAGACTTTAACAAAATAGAACAAAAATAGAGATTTGCTATTGATGCTCAGTTTATGACAAATTAATTAAATATTATATAATTTTAATACGAAATTTATATATTAAAAAAATACGCATAATATATGCGTATTTTTTTACTCAAATATCTAAAAGTTAGCATCGATTAACTCAGAATATGTATTTATTTTTTATTAGATACGAAAATTATATATTAAATTGTTTATTAAAAATATGTTATATTATACGAGATATTAATAAAATACAATTTATATTTGCGAAATTTTAGAAACACTCCAAACTGTTATATTTATTTTATAAATAACGTTCCAAAGAAATATTTTAAATAAATACTATACTATTGAACTACACTATAAATTAAAAATTAACTAATTCTTTTGAACATGTTTTAGGTAAAAAAAAGAAGTCGATTATGTCCAATTTTTAAATCCATTTGTGCAACAGAAATCCAAGAAAAATCGCACGGACATACAGGAAAATACTTGAACGAAATCTGCTTAATTATGCTATATAGTTAACTACTATTTTAATTAATTCTTTTAAGTCAGCAGTGTAAAGGAAGTGGCTTATTTAAAAATTGGTTAGCGGGTTCCTGTAGCGATAAACTAAAGTCCGTAAGATCAACCGACTGTGATTGCAACCATTATCAACCGAAAACACAATCTACACCGGCTACAGAATGTACTATAAAGTATGAAAGTCAAATAATAATAAAAAAACGCCCATACAGAGGACAGGTGCAGCCACTGTTGTAGGTGAGAAATTGAGAAAATAGAATACATAAATTTATTTATAATTTATATCTGTACGCAACGATAAACCATTGCTAACAAAAAACGATTAGAAGCGAACTTCGGTTATACTTGTTTTGAAAAGCTTTAATATTTACGATTTTCGTCATAATTTTCTCTTAAAACATTTGTGAAAAAAAAAAACTAATGCATTGAATTCAAATTTGTTTTTAGACCAATAAGACGAACGACTTATTATATACCTTGGGTTAAATTTTAAGTACTTCTCTAAATTCATATGATTGTAATAACAGATATCAGCTACCAAATAAAAATACATATTATAAAAACATAAAAATATCATAAATAGCCTAAAATGTTAGCTAGAATGTTTTGAACATTTTACCACGGTCACAAAAAACCAATATAAGTATTTTGTGAAAACTACAACTCCACAATAATTTTTAACTGGATAATAACAAAAACCTTATATGCCATACAGTTTACCGGTTTTTAGTAATTATTATAAAAACTATACGCAGAATCAAACAAACTGTATTATTCACAAATTAAAAAAAATTTCCTTTCAAAAAATATGCTATTCTTAAAATTTAAAAAAAAATTTCCGGTATAGAAAAATATAATCTTAGACATTTTAAATAATGAAATCGTTGCACCGGAATTTGAAAAATCTTCGTTTTACGTATTTTTTTTTTTGATTTTTTCCAATTATTCCAATTATTACGAAAACTACTTTAGATATTAAAAAATGGCTTTCTTTGTCAATGACCAGATATTAAATGGGACCCAATCGATTTCTTGGCATTTTTCAATTGGAGCAATATTTTTGGTAGAAAGAATAATTTACAAAAATTAAAACCAATGAAATCAGTAATGCCACTGAGCGTATTAACCATTGCTTACGTAAAAACGATTCTGAGCGGAGTTCAGTTAATAATAATGCTATTAGTATTATAATTTTTTTTTTTTAAAAAACTCAATAATACAAGAAATCTTTATGCTTAATTATTTTTTTATTTATTTTAGGTTTTTGAGAAGTGTTGGGGGTGACAAAGACAGTGAGTGCTGTTATATTTTCTTTCAACATTTAATCACCTCTATTCTCTTTGTTTATCCGCATACTCTTCTTCACTAAAGTATCAAAGTTTGAGATGCTTAGAAGTTCTCTTATATGTATTCCCCAATGCATCCTCTACGATATATGACCTAGAAACACTTGCTTTCATGGTTACTCTACCTAAAAACCATTTATTGTCTTTCAGAAACAATATTAACTGGTTGACTTCAAATTTTTCACAAGGCCTAGTAGGCAAATTGTAATATTTAGCTGATAATTTTTGTTTATTTTTCAACTTGCACTTTACCTCATAGTCTTCATATTTTTCGGGTTTAAGCACCTCTGCCACAACAGGTAGTTTATCCTTTAATTTTTTTCGACATCAGCAGCTCCGATGGGGATAGATGGATACCTTCAATAGGAGTGTTACGGTACAAAAACGACTCGCACGGTAACTGCCCTGTTACTGAACATTTGTTCAGTAATTTTTTACACACACCCACAAACTTTTCTGCTAACCCTTTGGATTGAGGATAATTTAGACTGGAGGTGATTACAATAAAATTCTAATCAATAGCAAATTGCCTTAATTCTTTACTATTTAAAGGTACATTATCTAAGACTAGTGTGTCTGGAATCCCAAAACATGAACAAATTAACTGAAGTTTGTCTATCACAGCTTGAGTTACTTTATTAGAGACTAACTCGATTCATTTTGAACAATAATCAGCTACTACTAAGAATGCACATTGCTTGAATTCAAAGATATCGGCTGCTAGCCTTTCAAAAGATCAATCTGGGATATTATGTGACAACAGTGGTTCTTTTGGCTTACTGGGTCGTCATTTTGTGCATACAAAGCATAATAATATTCTATTCGTTATATCTGCACTTAACCCTGGCCAGTATAAACACTCTCTTGTTCTCGCCTTGCACTTGGTGACTCCCCAGTAACCTTCATGTACAACTTCTAACATAGACTTCCTCGAGGATTCTGGTACTGTAATTGTTTTTGTTAAAAAATACAATGTTATTACCCACTGTTAATTCTTCTCTCAGCTTAAAATAAAACTATAATTCAGAAGGTACTTCTGTTTTTTTTATCAGGCCGCCCCTCATTGCACAGCTTATTTAGCAACTACAAAACTCTATCCTTGCATGTCTCTTCGCAAAATAACGCCTTTTTCTCATCTGACATCGTCAGAGCCAACATCAACTCATGTACCTTCACATCCTGGTCTGAATCTTTTTATTCTTTAGTCTCAAGAAAATCTCTCGACAACGTGTCTGCTATAAACATATCTTTGTCCGGAGTATACACTACTTCCGGGTCATATTTAAGAAGTTTTAGGAGCATGCGCTATAAGCGCATTGTTACTTTATGCAGGTCTTTCTTCGTTGTACTTTCTAAGGGTTTATGATCAGATTGAATCGTTACGCGTTTACCAAAAATAAATTGATGACATTTTTTACACGCAAAGGTGATGGCCAATATTTCCTTCTGTATTTGGGCATACCTTTGGTCTGTAAGGGTCAAACTTTTGGATGCATAAGCAATAACATGAAGTAGTACAGAATCAATGCCATCTTTAGATGCTTCCGTTTGAATTAAAATGAGCCTTCTAGTATCAAAGTTCTTTAAAACTGGGGATTCCACTAAAGATTTTTTTAACGACTTAATTGCTTCACTATGCTCACCACTCCATTTAAATTCAACATTCTTATTAGTAAGATTCCTAAAAGGTGCACAATTCTTACTCAATTTAGGAATAGATTTCCCTAAGTACTTGACCATGCCTAAAAACCTAAACAACTCTTTTTAATTTGAGGGTTTTTTAAGGCTAAGACTGCTTTTACTTGCTTAACATCAGGTCTAACCCTCTTCTCTGACACGACATGGCCTACATACTTGACAAACTTTTGCTTGAATTACAGCTTATCAAGATTGAATTTTAAACTGAACTTTTTTTCTCGCTCAATAACTTATATGAGTGTTTTATTATGATCGACCTTCGTAGCATCATACACAATAACATTATTGAAGTAAGGTGTTACACCACTTATATCAATAAAGCACTCGGAAGTTTTCTTTTGAAACACTTCTGGTGCTGAGCATATCTTAAACGGCATTCTTAAAAAAGTCTTTAGTAATCTTTTTTAAGTAAGGAGACCAAAACACAATAATGAACTAGACGAAAATTACAACAGCAAAAATATGATAACATGTTGAGTAATACCAACATGACAACGTTGCCGAACATTAAATAGTACGAGGTCAGACCGTAACGAAGCTAATTTTGTTATAATACCTGCAGTGAATTCACGACCATTATTAGACTAAAAAACGTTAGGAACACGAAAGGTCAGAAATATGTGCAATAATTTTTTCGAAACTTCTAAAGCCTTCTTGTATTTCAGAAGTCGATATAATGAAAACTTAGTCAAGTGGTATTTGTAATGAAGAATGTATTTAAAATCACCATCAAGTAAACTTTGAAGGTCGACTTGGTCCACTTGCTCTCGCTCGTTCAGGGATGAAGCTAAAATAAGCCGCACAACAACGCCTCTCGTACTTTTTTGTTGATTTCTCCATACACCTGTCGCAATTGGCAATGTAATTTTTTACATTAGACATTGGTATATTGGAGTAGTGTTCTTTTATTTTCTTGTGCGTTTTTGTCTCCCCTTTATGTCTAATGGCTACATGAATGTCAATAATAATATTAGTGAAATTATCAATTACCGCCATAATACCTAAATCGCGCTTCCTTCGAACTCGTTGAACGCCAACTACCTCAATTAATTCAAATTTATCAACGACATGATAATATCGCCTATCTTTTCTCATGGTAGGATAATTAATAATATTTAATATTTAAATTGCTTCTTTTTCTTTTTGAACCGTCCACTGTGAATCCATGATTAATTGATAATATTTATAAATAAGTGTACTTTACAATAAATATTTGAATGCACTATTCACCACGTAAAACTAATGACCCAACTAAACACTGATATTGAACAATATGTAATATAGATATATTGTTTTATTTAAGTTGCCAGGTGCTGACAGTAGTGTATATTTCCGGGATCGAATGAACAAATAAATCTATCTTAACATCTATCTATCTATCTTCGTAACCTTTTTATAAGTTTAAAAAGAAACAACAAAATAATACTCATTCGCATTTACAAAACATTTTCATCAGAGATATAATATTATGTAACCCTTTTTCGAAAAATATACCTACCCATTAAAAGAATATAAATAATTCGTACAATTTAATTTTTGATAATTTTAATAAATTAATATTTTACTAAAATGTTTATTCTGATAATTAAAACAGTAGATTTAATAATAAAAAGGGCCTATTTCGTGTAAAGTGATTCGTATAGTGTAGTTTTTAAATATTACATAAACTTTATGTTTTAATTAATTTACAAATATTTCATATGTTTTTATTTCATACAACGAACAAAATTCACATTTATAAACCTAAATACGAATATTAAATTATAAAATTATAAATACGTTTTATAGCAAATAGTGAATACAACTGTGTGAACACGAAATGTAGATACGGCACATATATTCAATAGGTATATAAAGCAGCAGTTTAAAATGCTGGAATAAATTAACATTTGTCAAAATATTTATTTTCATGCATGTAAATAATGATAAGTAATTCGATACCTTCGCTACTTGAGACAATCGAAATTAAAGTAATTTTTGGTGTCAATGACAATGTGAGATAAATCCGATGTGGTTAAATAGCTTAGATTAAATGAATTAGTATTTTAGATTTTGATTGGAGCAAAGAAACGTATTTCTTTTTTTGTGGAAAACTTTTCTATCAGCAATTCTTCTTCAACCTATAATGAAAGTTATTTTTCTAAAAGAAAATTTCAATGGGAGGTACTTTAAAAAGGTCATTTTTCGATTTACCCAAGAGTTTTCTCAGCAAATGTGAAAAACCGAAAAATAAAGCGGGGGGAAAACAAGAAAAACGGGATCCATTTCAGTTTTGGAAATTGAATAATTAAAATTTCATTATAATATGACATATATGTTGTTGACAAAGTAGCACTATCAACTCAACTCTGCTCAGAATCGTTTTTTCTTTTTTTGCGATAATTTATCGTTGCCTACAGGTATACTTTCAATTATTTATAACAGGAACTGAACCCGACCCCATTATCCTAAGACGTCTTTTTTATTTTATAATATGTTTGTACATCTCTATTCTAAATAAAGTTTTGTAATAATAAATGCCATTAATTTTGTTTTTACTTTCAAACATAGGTAACAAGAATCCAATATTTGTATCAAGTATATCTAACTCTAAATTTGTTATATCACCTATATCTCTACTTGTAAAAATAATACTTAAATAATCGTGAAAATTTTGTTTAAAAAGTAAATAACTACTTGTTATTTAACATTTTCGTTTCTACCAGCAATTTTTCTCTAACTTTTAATGATAGCAATATTTCTAAAAGAAAATTTCAATGGAAGGTACTTTAAAATGTCACTTTTAGATTTACCCAAGAGTTTTCCCAACAAATTCGAAAAACCAAAATAAAACATTGGAAATCCGGGAAACATGTAGAAAAATTAGGAAAATCAGTAAAACATTAAACAAATTTTATTAAAGAAAATGTATAAAGCCTATTCTATTATTTTACAACAAAATAACATATATATTGTTAACAAAGCATCACTATCAACTGAATTCTGCTCAGAATCATTTTTTCGTAAGCAATGGTTTATCGTTGCTTACAGATATAAATTAAATTCCCATCTATATCCTACCTGTCCAACATCCCACCTACATCAGTGGCTGCACCAGTCCCCATTATCTTACCTTTTTTTTTTTAATTATTAAAACGTAATAGTACGTCGGCGGCAGTAAAGAGACTTTTTGACCAGAAATCTTACTTCAGTCTTAAATTTTTCACAAAATACTTATATTTTTACTTTCTAAACGTTGTATAATCAAACCTCTATCCTGCCTCTAAACCTCTAATTTTCTTCGTAAATCTTCTTTATAATATTTGCCTATTGTAACACCTTATTATAGATTGTAAATTATTTGATAAATACATTTTAAAAAAATTTCAAGTTTTCAATTTAAATTTATCAAAAAATGTTTAACCAAACTACGCTCAGAATTACGCTTCATACAATTTAATATATAAATAAATTATCCCAACATATATTATATACATATATCTTTTTTTCCGAACAGAGGCCTACTCATAGTACAAAATATGTCCGGCTTTTTTTTTAAATTTAAATTTTAGAAAATGTATTTTAATACTCTGGAGAAAGCTTTAGCATCTATATTCATTTGTATATTTTTATCTTAAAATTATACACCTATAATATTGTAATCAATTCAAAAATATATATAATATAGGTAGGTAGATATTCTATTAGAATTTGGAATATTACGGAATACATAATTTATTGTTAAAGGGTGAAAAACGTGTTTAATATGCAATTGACAAGACTATACAACACAGAATTGGGATAATTCTATATAATTTTATGAAAGATGTGATAAAATTACAAGAATTTAACAAGCGTTTAAGCTTTCCCGAAATTCCACAGCGACATTGATATCGATTTTCGACGAAACAATTACATATCGTTCGGGATGAAATAGTTATGACAATTATAATTAATTAATTCTATTTATGAATAATATTATGCTTACAATAATTTTATTACATTCTATGAAATAATATAAATACAATAATACTTACTGTATTAATAATTAATAATAATGATTAATTATAAAAAAGGTTTTATGATCTATATAATATTGATAGTATAATCAGTAGCGGTTTCGGTTCATACCCTAAGGGCGGAGGGAGGTAGTTTCATAGTGTACTTTAGGTCTTTTTAGTAGATATTAAAAGAAATATTATATTAAAAACATGTATTATACATTTATACCTTATATTATTATTATTAAATGGATGTCCTACCACACGTATTTAAGTGGTTGCGTTAAATCAATTTTCCTATAATGTTTGAAAAATGAAAATTGATCAAAAATATCCATATTCATTTGCAAATGCATTTACCAGCAGCTCTTTTTCATTATCATATGTATTTATTGTACAACCATAAAATTAAAATAAATTTCAAGGAAGAATCATTTCGTGCAGTCAAAATCAAATGGTTAATTATTAATAAATTATATTTTTGCTATAAGAAAAAAGAAACAGAATAATTGTATTGTGTAACATTAGTTTTATTTTTTTAATATGACTACAAAAACATATCAGAGTTTAAAAACTTAAAATTAGCAAATTTTAGAATAATATGTACTCTATATGTTTAGTATCGAAAATATAAAACCAACATTGCAGTGTTCTTTCTTTTCATATTGAAAATTTGGGTTTTTAGCCAAATCAATAGTCCGAATAGTTTTTGCTCGTGCAAAAACATTAGGACAGTCACATTACGAATTATATAACGTATAATGTGTATTCGTATTAATATATAGGTACCTAACTAATCATACATAGAATAGGCGTGTATATTATATTTTTTTAAATTATAACCCAAAATCTAAACTTATTTTTTCTATGCTAGTAAATCGGTTAATAATGTTCTCTTTTGGTACCTATTTCATATTCTCAACGAAATTTTAAAAGATTAGTAAATAATAATAATTATACTCTCGTTAGCCATGGCAACACTAATGCTGGTAAAGTTCCTACGATCAATAATAGTTATAGATTGTTGGAAATACTATTGGAGAACAATGACTATTATCAATAGGTATTTTATGCAAATACAGTTTTTAAGAACTTGGGTTTATCAACAATACATATGGGAACCAACATTTAAATTTAGTACATTTTAAAACTATGAGCTGATTAAATAACGTCTGGAAAAAAATAATTTGTAGAATAATAATTATTACCTCGAGAATTTTAAGATCAAAATTATAAAATTTCGCAAAACGTTTTAGTAGCTTTACGACATTTTCCCTTATTCTTTAAATTTTCTATTTTTCATTCGTTCTACCTATTGTTATACTAAATAGTAAGTATTCGTACAATTTTCAAGTTACCAAATATAAATTGATCCTAGTCAAAGAAATTAACAATTGAAATACGTAAATAATTATAACTTTTCAATTTAATTATGTAATGTGAACAAAATCAAATTAAAATGGCTTGGCCGTTTTCGATGAATACTATATATACGTGATAAGGTTCAATTACAAATTATTATACTTGAGATACTGTGTAGAACGAAGAAGGTTATGGTTTTACAAAGATGTTTATTATTTTTTTCTGATGACAACTTTTCTACAAGCACTTTTTTGCTCCAATTTACAATAATAGCACTTTTTCTGTAAAGAAATCTGACTGGGAAGGTACTTTTAAGAGGTCACTTTTCGATTTTCCTAAGAGTTTTCCAGCAAAAGTAAAAAACCGGGAAAACCGAAAAGAACGTAGGAAAACCGGGGAAATCAGTAGAATATTAAACAAATGTTATTAAAGAAAATACATAGAGCCTATTTAATTATTTTACTATCGTTTTTCGTTAGCAATGGTTTATCGTATACCACAAATATATATTAAATCATACCTGTCTGTATCCTGCCTTTCCAACTTCCCACATACACCAGTGGCTACACCCGTCCCCATTATCTTACCTTTTTTTGGTATAATAGGTATGGACTGGAGTACCTATACCTAAATACGAGTATATTAATGTTTTATTCTCTTTCAGAATAGTCGCTATTGGTTAAATTCATAAGACGCCTTAGTGTAGTTTTTGTTGCATGCAATTTGTTATATCACTATATATAAAATATATAGGTAGGTACGCGCAAAATGGAGAACTTTGATATTAATAAATAAGGGTAACCGAGCGAGTCTACAAGACGTAGGTATATGGTTCGACAGCATTCCATAAAAAAACTTAAGGTGTAAAATGCGTCTGCAACCAACCAATTACAACAAGATAGATAGATATTACTTGTATACACAAATCGGTAACAAAAATAAATCTTGAGTTATACTGCTGATAATAATCTTTAAAACAGAACAAGCAAATGATTTACAAAAATTTAAGTACACTGGACACATTTAAGCTACCGAAAATAATAGATGAAATAATTTCGAAGTGTAGATAATATACCTCAGGGGCGTATTTGATGGGGGGGAGGCGAAAGGTGGATATACCCCTCTTGGGAATTTTAATTGTGATGTTCAAATCACGGCTATAGCATATAGGTAATAAAATAATATACTCTTGATATTTATTATTTATTAATTTACTTTATTTATTTATTTATTAATTATAAATTTTGGGTATTTTAAACAGCATTATCAAAATATATCTAGTGATAATGATATCGGGCAATGTTTGTCTGTAATCACGAGGTAAGATAATATATTAATTACCATGGCTGTAGATCAATGTTTCTTAACGTAGGCGGTACCGCCACCTAGGGTGCATCGCAGTGACCTGAAACCCAATTTTAAGTGGGAAAAAGTTCATTTTAAAAATTCATTAAAAGTAATATTTTGTTTTATTAATCCAATATGTACATCCTACAAAACATAAAAATAGCATTTTAGGTAATAGTGAGATCACTAGTCAGATTAGGGGATACAAATAAGAAGATAATGTTTTCACATATACTGTTAGGTCAACTTTAATACTCATTTGAGTTCTGCCGATTATTCTACATGTGCACATTTATTTTATTTTTTAATTTTAGATATTTTAAAATTAAAAATAAATTTTGAATACCAAAATAAGTATTCAATATAAATAATATGAATTTTAATGATGTTTTACATACAAAATAGTCAGTAAAATAATATAAAAATTAATAATTATATTTTAAAGTGTGTAGTTAAAAAATAACCAAAAATAATCGTTAAATAATATATAGGAACATAGTACATAGTCTACTCCATAAAATCCCGAAATATGGTTATCGTCTATTTGCATCTATATTCTCTGAATGCTTATTTCAAAACTGATGTAAGATTTGAATTCAGTAGCCCCATAAATATATAAGGTGATGTAAATTCCCTCCCCTTTGGGCCAACATCAAAATAAATTCTAAATTTGAATTCAGCAGCTATATAAACATATAAGTTGATGTAAAATACCTACATTTAAACAAAAAATTAAGAGATATTTATTTTTTCCACCTAAAATTGAGTTTCAAACCACTGAGGGACATTTCGGCCCTTCAGGAGGGCGGTAAGTTTGAAGGGGGCGTTGGAAGGGCGGTGAGCTTTAAAATGCGGAATAATGGAAAAAAATAGAAAAACCCCAGTATCCGGTGACACGTATTATCGCACGTGAAATCAGAACAGTTGTAATTGCTTACGGCGTAAGCCGTACAACGTTATGTCACTGAATTCTATACATGGAACGCGCATTACATATGATTTGTGTATTGAAAACTGTCCCCCGATAGGAGGCCGCCATATTGATTCCAATGGAGATTTACTCAATGAAAAACATGGACAATAAACTAAATAATCTGTGATTATATCAAAGAATAACAATAACATTATGTGGAAATCAGAAATAGCCGATAGGATATTAGTAAATAGATATTGATAATAAAAAAAATCTCAAATAAACAGTAAGAATCAGTAAGGATTATTATGTAATTAAGGCAAGTGTCTTTTAATATAGGAACCTACATAGAGTATATTCATTGGCTAGGTACCTATGCAATTCCTAAAATACACTATAATACGCACATTATTATCGTAAAGTATAAGAACACCGGTAAATTTCTCCATGAATTATTGTTTATTCCATATATGGAATCAATATGACGCTGTCCGATAGGAGGTCACGTTTGGCGGCTTAATGCGCATTTCATGTATTAAGTTCAGTGCGTTACGTTCGTACGTCATGTTATCTAATCGAATAATACAGGAAATACTTCAATAACATATTTATTAATAGATTTACTTTCATGCCCATTTTACCTACAGTGTTAGGGCTCACCTCGCAGTATGTGATTATATCTCAACTAAAAACTTCGTGTTTTCGAGTAAACGAGTGCGCATTCACGTGTCTTCATTTTAAATACTTTTAAGTATAAACAATCACGTTTTAAAAATTAGTGAAAAAAATAAGTGTTGTTAATACTCGGAAGAGTACTTAAAGTTTAGTTTTATCGCGTCGCAGTATAGTGTACAGTTACTGTTTTGTCTTGTATGTGAATGATTATTTTCTAATGAGACGATGAAACCATCGTGGTTGAAAGAGCATTTATCAAAAATTCATTACGACAAATTAGAGAAGCCACTTTCATTTTTTCAGGATCTTAAAGCAAAAATTGAAAAAAGAGTCACTGTGAATAGTTTATTTAAAAAACAATCATCTGATCTAGATAAGGGACTTATCGCTTCATACAAAGTGTCTTTATTGATTGCAAAAAACTGTAAAAAAAGGTTATTTTACCGGCTGTTAATGAAATAGTTAACACTGTGTAAGAAGAGGGTTCAAGTAATAAAATAATGAAATCAGTTCCTTTGAGCAATGACACCGTCTCCGAAAGAATTGCCGAAATGGCTGATGACGTCGAAAACAAACTAATAAATTCTTTGAGAAAATAATTTTGCCCTACAAATTGACGAATCAACATTGACAGATAATAAAGCTATTTTATTAGCGTACGTAAAGTTTATCAATAACAGTAAAGAAATCGTTGAGGTATTATTGTTTGCTAAAAGTTTAATCACTGATAGCAAAGGATCGTCGATTTTTCAAGTGGTGAACGAATATTTTACGGAAAAAAATATTCCTTTGACAAATATTATTGCATGCACAACGGCGACGGTCCTTCTATGAGGGGTCATCATATTGGGTTTATTGCACACCTAAAAAAAGCTGTTTCAGGTGATAATGCTATTCATTGTGTTATACATCGCCAACATTTAGCTACGAAAAATCTAAGTGGTATCCTGCTCGAAACTTTTCAATATGTTATAAAAACTATAAACAAGATTAAAGCAAGTTCACTCAATGACCGTCTGTTTCGGAAACTTTACTAAGATAATGATGAGGAATTTGAAGGATTACTTTGCGTTTAGTAGCAAGGTAGCTTTTCAAGGGAAAATGTTTGTGTCGATTTTTCGCATTATTCAATTCAATCATTGAATTTCTCGACAAAATTGAAATTGGGTACCTCACAGTTTTTTTTGAAAAAATGAATGAAATCAACTTGAAGCTTCAAGGAAATGAGATGAATTACATAAATGCCAAAGGGATAATATGGTCATTCATTTCCAAGTTTGATCTTTAGAAAACGAATATAAACCGCCAAGAACTGAGTCAGTTTCTAAATCTCAAGGCATGTTAAAATGTAAATGGTGCAACTGTTGACAAAATTCAAATTTTCAGTGATCATCTTTTGCAGCTAAAAATTAATATGAAATCAAGATTCAATAACATCCTCCATTTATAAATTCCTAACTGAATTTTAGATCCATTTTCATTTGAATTGGTGAAGATCTCAAACCATATTTACAATTGGAATTTATCGATTTTAAACCCGACTATAAGACTCAAATTGTTAAGTTGTTACTTCTCCCCATCGACGTATCTAGCTGAAAAAGGATTCAGCGTTTTTGTTCAGCTTTTAACGAAGCAAAGAAATCAGTTGGATATTTGCAATAAAGGTGATCAGCGTTTAACTTTAACCAACATTGAATCAGACATTGCAAAATTAGCAGCTACTCACCAGGCTCAGGGTAGTCATTGAAGAGATATGATGAAATATTGTTTTTTGCATAGAAAAGTTTAAATTTGAGCCAAATAAAACACTTATTTACCTAAAATTAAATTATGAATTTTTATTGTAATTTAGAATACTGGTTCATAAACGTATGAGAATTTTTTGACTGGTTAGAAGGGGGGGGGCGTAAAGCTCTCAGTTATTTCGGTATAGGGGCACTGAACCGAAAAAGGTTAAAAACCACTGCTGTAAACAATACTATCTACAGCCGTTTTATATGTACAATATTGTGCATACAGTCAACTGATAATAAAAAAGACGTAGAATGTAAATATGAGTATGCTGGTAAATTACGATTATACATAGAGATATTGGCGTAGACACCCAACTAATCATAGATTGGTTTACACGTAAAAGAAAGAGTAATATTACTTCCAATATGTAAATAAACTCAATATGACTCAATATTAATATATATGTATTTACATATATTTTTTTGATTGTATGATATTAATAATATAGCTTTTTTTTTTTTTTAATTTACCAGAGAAAAATAATCTAAAAAAAGGTATTATAACTGTTGTCTTTTTTTTTCAGGGTTATGAGAAACCGTCACAATATTTCGTGAAGTATTACAATTATTAAACTGCCTCCACTCCTTATTGAGCCCCAAAAGCACCACTGATATACCTACAGATTCAAAAATGAAAATTGTTGTTCTACGCATTAAAAACCTAAAAAATATTACAAACGCTTTGGCATTGCCACAAGTCGCTATATAAAAATGTCATTAACGTTGTATAGTTAGACGTATTAAAACCTTAACGAGCTGATTGTGATTCCTTTATCACATAACGTGTTATTTTATTGAATATTAATTGTTAATATTATTTGTTTTACACCTATTTTCTAGAAATTAAAATGGTTATAACGAAAAAATTATTCATCGGATATGAATGTGTGATAAATTAAAAATTTTAAATACATTTTTTTTACAAAATGACTATTTTGAAAATTGTCTAAAGTGAATAAATAAAGTTATTTTTTTGTGTGTGTTTAGGGGATGAAAATAAAAATTTAATTTTTCTCGAAGACAAACTAATTGAAAAAAAATATAATATTAACAGTGCTAGAAATATCCGTTGAACACGGTGGGGCACAGTATGTTGTACTAAAAGATTAAAATAAGATGACATAATAACCAGGAAAAATTTCTTTTCACCAGATTGATTTTAATCATTCTATTAAAATTAAACGACCGTTAAAAATCAAAATAATAAAATAATTATAATTTTTAACTTTTAATTTTTTATAAATAATACTAAATAAGAACTTTATTATTTCAACTTTTAAGATATTTTTTACTTGACAAAATTGACATTTAAAATTTGAATTATTATTGCACCATAAAACCATAAAATCTTAGTAATATATATTATGATTAAACTTTAAATTATGCAACCAGACTAAAATTTAAAAAAATAAAATATAACAATAATTACAATTATAAAGCATTATGGTTTGTATTATTGTGGTACACTAAAACTGATTTTCATGTCAAATACACATAACACATAATGCTTAGGAATTTTCTTCCACGAGTATTTCATACAACTTAATTTAATCATTGTATCGTCATCATCCTTGTATGAATTAATTGTTATTAATTCTGTAGAATTTTATAATTTTAGGTAATAGTATTCTATCACAGTATATATTTTAAAAAAAAGAGCTGATATAGGGATGGGAGCGGCCACTGTTATAGGTGACGAGTTTAGAAGGTAGGATAAATAAGGTTTATTTCATATTTGTAAGCAACCATAAACCATTGTTTGACGAAAGACGTTTTCAAGCACAGTTCGGTAGTACATAATTTGAAGTGACGTAATTTTTTTTGCGATTTTCATTTAATTTTGATTTCAAAACGCTTATTAAAAAAAAAAAGTAGTCCGATGATTTTGGAAATTTTACTACGTCTAGGTAAGTTTAATATAAATATTATTACCAAGTATTAAGTCTTTACGTGTATTTATAACCGAATTACAACAAAAACCCTCCCAAAAATTAAAATTCCTTAAAAGCTCAAAAATGGCTCAAAAGTTTTGGCGATGATACCGTAAGAAATAAAACAAAAGGCAACAAACCAGGTGTTTTGTGTTATTTCAATTAAATCATTTTTTCTAGTAGAAAACGTCGTCCGTGTCTTTATAAAATAATAAAATCGTGAAATTTTACGTTTTTCTACGTTTTTTCCCACTTAAGTGCTATTATTTAAAAACTGACGTCGAAAAACAAAATTGACCAATTTAAATTACAATCTAGACAATTTGAGCTTTCATAAAAGTTGCTACACGTAAAAATCGAAGCAAGTTTATTAGGATAAAACCTCTGTCCACAGACTAGGACGAAAAAAAAAAAAAAAAATAAACAGCATTTAAAACCAATAGCTCCCTCGCTACGCTCGGAATCTAAAATCAAATATATTGACAATGGAAATATGGTAGATTCAATGGCCACGTTAATAATTAATTATTGTTACAGTATAACAATTGATAAATCAAACGAATATAATATTACAAATTACAATACAGATAGACACCCGCCCATTGTAAAGCGTTTGATTGACCACACAGAATATGATTGATTAGTTATTAACGATGAACAGTACTAACTAGGTTATAAAACCCATATAATCCAACTTGAGTCTCAGGTGATCAAGCGCATACAAGGGAAAAGCACCGCAAAATTAATTTAGAGGTTTCGGATTTTTGGATTTAATATTACATAGATATTAAGCTATAGTAATGTAATAAAACATTTTACTCAACAAATTAAACAAGATAAATAATTAATAATACCAATGATATAAATATTTCTATACTTTAAAAAACCAACCTATGGTAAATTACAAAAATAAAAATAGATGCACTTACTATGTATAGTTGGTAATTTAGAATTTTACTTAAATTCAAGGTTTACAATATTAATCGTACGCTTTATAAATAATAGAAAATTAATCTATTATTATTATTATAATAACTATTTTAATTCGTTATTTTTATTAACTTTTTTCAAATTCTAGCCCTACTTTTATATAGAAGATCTAATTTTTCATTTTTAATTAAATTTAGTATTTTTTTTTCCTGTGCCACTTGGGGCGTCTAAAAAAATTAAACCACCGTGTTGGAGATTAATATTCACCAAAATGTTATTATAAATATATTTTAGATCAAATGTAACTTGATTTTCAATTATTGATACATTTTAAGTTCTTTTTTCATAATACCGAGTGATCCATTTAAGTGAGTACACTAACTAAAATCTCGGTAAATATTAACTTTGTTCGGAATTTGTTCTTGGACATTTAAGACACAAGCAGCCCAACAATTTTATATTTATTTTTTTTTGTTTGCCTTTTTTTGGGGGGTAAACCATTACTTACTTCTGATTGTACCCTAACTATCATAAGAAATTTGTACCGTTTTACAGGCATATGAGTATAGAAACGACAATATTACGATTATTATATTCCTAATAAAGATTCCTCGTCGGCCGGATCGAAAATTGATAAAAGAATTTTCTTCGAAATCAGCTGTGTGGAAAACGATTAAACACGCAATAGGAAATCTTATTAGTTAGAAAGATAGGTCCCTTCGTCTGAAACCTTGAGTTAGTCTTATATTATATAAATTGGAATTTATATATATTTTTTTGGATTCTGACTACAACGACGAGGAATGTATTGGTTTTACAATGATGTTTTTTTTTTTTGTAATGTCAACACTTTTTCTACCCGAAAACATACTCCGGTTATCAAGCATAACACCTTTTTTAAAAGGATATGTTCTCTGAGTGGTGAGAGTTAATTTTTTGAAATTATCATTAATATTCGAGGTAATGAGGAAAACCTCGATCTTTAAGTTAAAAAAGGGACGGGCATACTTCGCACGTGCAGCCACTGTTGTAGGTGGGAAGTTAGGAAGGTAAGATACAGACGGGAATTTAATGTATATCAGCTGTAAGTAACGATAAACCATTACTAACGAAATAATAACAAAAAATGAATAAAAACGGTTATCAATGACAACTTTATTTTTAATCATTCAATCTTTTCTAACCTAAAGACCGAGGTTTTCCCTATTATCTCGAATATTAATAAGAAATTCAAAAAATGACCTCGCTAAAGTACCACTCAGAGATAATTTCCTTTCAAAAACAGTACTATAATTGATAATCAGAGTATGCTTTCTTGTGAAAAATGTGAACATAAAAAAAAATAAACATCAATGTAAAACCAATACATACCTCGTTCCACTCAGAATCTAAAAGATTGAAAGATTAAAAAAAGGTTGTCATTGACAACCATTTTTATTTATTATTTGTTATTATGAAGTTTTAATTATTTTAACTATTTTAAAAAATCATTATTATCATAGAAAGGCACATTTTTGTGATCATTTTACCATAATATGACATATAACATATATTGGATTATTGACAAAGCAACACTATCAACTGAATTCCGCTCAGAATCGTGTTTTCGTTAGCAATAGTTTATCGTTGCTTACAGATATACATTAAATTCCCGTCTGTATCCTACCTTCCGAACTTCCCACCTACAACAGTGGCTGTACGCACGTGCGAAGTATGTCCGTCTTTTTTTTTAAATGAAATTCATAACGTGTAAACTGTGTAAACGTGTAAAAATGATTCTAATTTATAGGTTCAAATTTAATTTTTCTTGCAAATCGATTGAAACAAATACTCCCTGGATAACTCTAAATGGATTTCAAACTATAATATAGATAGGTAGGTAGAAATAGATTTGGCCGAAACGAAAATTGAACCTTTTTCATTTTGGCGGAAACGATGATTGACGGACACGACTAACGCCCAAATATTCCGTTAAAGTATATTCAACTGAAATAAACATTAAATAGGAGCTGACACCGAGGACGGATGCGGTCACTGTTGTAGGTAAGTTAGGTTAGGTTAGATTGGTGGTAGAAAAGTTATTTACAGACAGAAAACGAAAAAAAAATACAAAAGCACGCACGTCATAGTAAAACCAATAGATCCCTCGCTACGCTCCGAATCTAAAAAAAAAACTGATACTAAGAACAGGTACGGTCAATGTTGTGGGTGGGTAGTGGGAAAGGTGGGATACATAAAGTTATTTAATTTATACCTGTAACCAACGATAAACCATTAATAACGAAAAACGATTTTTTGCGAAGTTCAGTTATACGTGTTTTGAAAGGCCATAATATTTACCATTTTCGTCAAAATATTATTTTAAAACTCTTATAAAAAAAAATGAAATACCATATTAAACTACATTTTGTTTTTACCGCTATGTACGACTTACTATGAACCACCTATCACATTTCCAAGCGTTTCTGTTAAGTCTAACAATTTATCTACAGAGTACTTACTTCTCAAATGAAATGTACACAAAAAAACTCGCAAAATTAAAATATCTACAAATAACTCAAAAATTGTTCAAATTTTTTGAAAATTTGACCACGTCTGGAAAACTAAATATGAGTTTTTTGTCTAATTGTCAACTATATAAATATTTTAAATTTAATTATATAAGAAAACAAAATTTTAAATTATTTTAGATTTATTTTTGTAAATTGTTTTATACTTTCAATATTTTTTTTAGATTTTGCTCAAATATTAAAAAAATTACAGAGGAAATCAAAATACGACTTTCTTAGTTATATACTAAAATAAAAATTCAACAAAAAAGATCTCTTGATTGAAGCAATATTTATGGTAAAAAAACATAAGCCGTAAAAATTTAAAATAATAAAATCATAACGGCGCGGCCGTATACTTAAGACTCTGAGTGAAGCGAAGAGGCTTATGGTTTTACAAGGATATTTATTATTTGTTTTTTTTTTTAAATATATTGTTTATATTTATCTTATATTGTTTTCTCAACATATTTGAAAAAACGGGAAAAACGGAACCTTCCCAATGCACCAACGAGGGAAAATTACCTTTCAGAAACAGTGCTTTAGTCTATACTCCGCAGCAAATTTTCAGATAGAAAAGTTTTTCAGACACAAAATATAAAAAAAAATAAAAAACACATATCATAGTGAAACCAATAGACCCCTCGCTACGCTAATGATTGTGTATGATATTTAATCTGTACTGAATATTAAAATATATTTGTTTAATAATAATTTTTAAAGCTATCATCAAATAATTTTAATTTCTCATAAATTTACAGTTGTCATCCTATCGACCAAATAATTTATATATTCACAAACCCAACATTACAGCAATATTTTATTGTATGAAAGCCCATAATAACATAATACATTAATAAATAAACGTTTACTTTATTTAAATAAGGCACGTACCTGATAATACTCGTGCTCGTTGATTCACCGGTAAATTCGTAGTCAAACTATAGTGAAATTCCTCAGCATACGTATTTGGATATGATTTTGTACCTGTAATTAAACAAAAATGCTATTTAAAAACAAAAATATAATATGTATGAACATTTAAATTGCTCAATTTAAACACTTGTATCTTTATTTGAATAGACATTTACAAACCTACATAATATTCGAGCGTAAAAATTGTTCAACGCATCATTCAAAATCTAAAAAAAAAACACTCCAGCGAGCTTTTTTCTTCGATGACGGTAACGAATCGTGATATATAACTGACTGGGATTGACCGACACTGCAAACTCATGAGACGGTTTTCCGTGTGCATTAGCTGCGACGTTGCACAGTAAAAGACGACGGCAGTTTATTTTTTAATTTTCTACTTAGCAATATAATTTCCAATACCAATAACGGGTCGATTTAAAAATAAAGAAGTTTGCAACATTGTTAAAGTGAGATTATTGTGCTATGTATATTCATCAACTATCGATGAAAGTGTTCACATATTTCTAGTTGTACATAATGGCATAATTTTAAAAGTTGTAGAATATAAATATTATATTTTTAAATATAACAGAGAATAATTTGGTTGAAAATAAAAGTTATCAAAAATAGTATAGTATTATTATTTTAAATACGAAACAACTATTGCATCAAAAAATGATTATAGCTAGAGTGGCGTTACTAACTCTATAAGTAGTTACATAATATTCTATCATAATATTATCTTCGCTTAGTTTATTCAGATGATAACAATTCACAGGAACTCGAAGTATGAAATTCGGAAAAAGACCTCCCTATAAAGTAAGTACAGTTTACCATCAGTGTCCAATAACTTAATAATATACAAAGTTGTTGTTGATGCGTAAAACTTTTTGACCGTGTTTACTGGCCTAACAAGGGTTAAACTACTAGTTACATCTGATCATAGTTTAAAAGTTTATTTTTTTGGAACGAAACAATAATTGAAAAAGATCGGAAGGACTTCAACGGGGAAATAATGCTGCATGGACGTTAAAATTGTGTACCCTTTTTTGGTTAGAGACGGAAAAATGTCAAAATAACTATCAAGGGATGTTTTAAATTCTGAGTATAGCCAAGAATGTATTGGTTTTACTAAGATGTTTATTTTTTTTATCCTGTGTACACAAATTCAACCATAAATCTTGCTCAGATATATACGCATGAAACCATTTCTGAAAGGGAATGTTGTCTAGATGGTACTTTTGAAAGGTCATTTTTTGATTTTACAAGTGGTTTTCATAGGAAAAACCAGAATAAAACGTAAGAAAAACGGGAAATTTACGAAAAATTAAAACTTTTTATTATTTTTCAATTTAGTTGTTTGTTGTAATTCAGTTAAAAAATTCATAAAAACTTGAAATTTGGACAGAAAACTTATATTTGCTTTTTCTAATCGAGGTAAAATTTTCCAAAAATTTAAGCTATTTTTAGGCTTTTTATAAAATTTGTAATATTTTTGTAAAAATTTAGTCAAAAATATTCGTATCAACTCGATGAACTTAAAATTAGGACAAAAAACTTATATTTGCCTTATATGTACGTGGTAAAATTTTCAAAAAATTTAAACCATTTTGAGACATAGACATAGACATTAGACATTTGACATAGACATTACACTATAGACATTTTGAGAGTTTTGTACGTATTATTTATTCGATAGGTACTCTGGGGTAAAATTGTTGATTTGAACAGAAATGCTTCAAAATTTAACAGGAGGTTGATTAAGTCTTAATTTGTGGTAAAAAACAAAATTGAGTTTAATGTAGTAAATGTAGTATTATTTTCTATAAGGGAATTTTAATATAAAATTATCAAAATTATGTGGAACAAATCTGATTTTATAGGTTTTTTCAAAAAAAAAACATATGTATAATATCGATTTAAGAACGATGGATATTGCCGGTTTAATGGATTGAGGGAAAACAAAAATTTCAACACCAATATTTATTTTATGTAATATTACTCTATCTTTTTATGGGATTTTAATATAGGTTGCTTTTTTAAAATCAAAAATAGGTAGTCATTTCACCCCCAGAAATAAGGGTCATAAAAAAAATAATAACGTAATATTTTAGAATTATTTGTTACTTAAGTTTTCAAAAAAAAAAAAATTCAAAAATAATCAATACTTTTCGAAACAATGAGTGTTTAACAATAAACAAATCACTCTTTTTATAATTTGCAACAATGTTTTGATTGAATTCATCATCACTATTTACTATACAATACAGATTTTAGCCCGGTGACATCAACTTTACTGAAATACTAAATTGACCATTTTATTTTTAATAATAGTAGATTCATAACAATAAATATAACGTGACTTACTAAACGATACGAAATTTCCCTGTATGACCGAAACTTAAATAGGAAGTTCAGTAATTCGATGTAGGGATTAATATCATATGGAACGATCATGAAAACTTTAAATACGACTAAACTATATTGTATACATTCTGTTAAAATAGGAGGCTGCAAACATGAATCTTACTGAATAAAGAGCGTATAGAATTCAGATGTTCTTAACGCGGTATCAAAACATGACGAAAGTATTTATTGTATATAATATCGGTACTCGAGTAATTTTCCGAAATGATGAAGGGATAAAGTTCGAAAACAGCATTATATAACAGTAGATACTAAACAGGAGTAATCATTGAAATCCTTTCTTCCTTTATCACATAATAATTGACAATAACTTTAAAATCCCAGATGTTAAATGATGGCATTTAAATATTATCGAAATAATAATATAATCTGATTCTGACGATAAGGCTTCAATTTCCACCACACCTTTTGTGTTATTGTACAACAGTTTGCCTATCCAAGTTTAATTTAATTTAATTTAAAGAAAATATTACAATAGTAATATACAAGTAGTCTACAACATAAAACGTATAGATAGCCGCATTATCAAAACTGGTAAAGCATAAATTAAAAAAAAAGGCATTCGATTGTATAATATATCATAATCTACAAAGTAGAGGATATTAAGAAGGTATTAAACATAATAATATATAATATTATTTTACAACTTAATCTAAACCTATATAATAAACAGTTTTTCTTTGGGTCGCATTACATTCATTAATTCTTATGATCTCCCAGTCCACGTAGTATTAACAGACCAACTACGAGTATTAAAAATACTACAGATTTTTAAAAAGACCGTTAACTTCATTATTATTATTACTTGGCTATTGAATAAATTGTTGGTCAGATATTTCTAATCAATTATCAATCAATAATATTTTGTAGGTATATAATGGTAGAAAATTGCATTTGTGTATATTATTATCTTTTATTTCAATATAATAAAGAGACTGATACTTCTAATGGTTATACCGCTGCAGTATTAGGGGGGAATTTGAAAGGGAAGATATGTAAAGTAATTTAATTTGTATGTGTGCATAACAATAAACCATTGCTAACGGAGATTCTGAGAAAATTATTAATTTTCGTATATTTTTCCTTGTTACCAAAGTAACCCGGAAATCAACAAAAATTATACAAAAATATTGCCATCTTTTCCATTTATTAAAAAAACTACGAGAAAAATCAAAAAATAAACTCATCAATTTCATCAACTAGAAAAAATATTCTACAAAAAAGTTCCCAAAAAGGTATTTATTAGAACATAATTTCTGGTAGAAAATTAGTTTACAGGCACAAAAAAAATACTATAATAGTAAAACACTTTTCTATTATTAGAATCTAAAACAATATACGGTATATATATCTAAATAGAATTTCGTTTTACTACAGAACCTAAAAGACTGTATAGTGTATACACTATACATCTATTTCAATACTATAATAATAGTAAGGACTAAAGTTATTAAAATTATTAAGAATAATATGAACATTATAAGTACATATATTTTCAATTATTTAACATAAAATGTACCCATTTGTATAGGTGCCAATATAATATCTTAGTGTAGATACCTAACTTATAAAAAATAAAGTCAATATAATTTATATTATTTTTGAATGTTATATACTTTTTCATAATCTATATACATTTTTAATTAAATAATAATTGAAAACTTGCATAGGAAAAACTTTACAAATTGAGTTTTTCGAATACCAGTTGTCGCTTTTGCTACTTTTTGTGGGTTTATGGTTTTTAATAAATTACGTTTTATCCAAACGCGGCCAATTTCCTGTCGACCAGACGATATTTTAAGAACGAGGCTTTAATTTCAAGTTATTCTGTTCCGACCAACACCGCAGTAAAAGAGCGTAATATAATATTCGTAAATATAGAAAAAAAATAAATTCTAATGTAAATAAAAAAATAATTTAACATTTTTTAGAATATAATAATATATATTTAATTTATAAAATAAAATTTTAATACTAACAATAATAACATAAAATTGTGCTGCAAAGGATAAATTGATGTGCATTTATCAGTAATTCAGGAAACAAGGAAAACAATGCACACGATGTAAATATCTAAAAAATAAAGTGATATTATTTAATAACTAAATGTTTTTACGACTATTAATTTTATATAGGAGATGAAAACTAAACATACGTCTTTAATCTTCAATAAACATGTATGTTAAATTTTTTTTACAATATTACAACAAGTAGATTGATAAGTAGATATATATATATATATGTCTGATATATTATATATTTTAGATCACAACAAAATTCTGACGTAATGCCGATAAATTTTCGCGAATTTTTCGATCCATATTACTTTATCTAATATTTTTAAATTTCACTGAATATCGATATCGATATTATCGGTTATCGCAATTCGAAAAAATCGATATATCGAAATATCGAAATTGAAATTGATTTATACAACCTTGTAGAACCTGAGCTACCACAAGCAATTCTCTCCATATTTCCCTATTCAATGCCAGGTCAACTGACACAATTGTTCTCATCATTTAGATATCTTTCTTTACCACATCTTTCTATCTCGTACGTGGTCCACCTATTGATCTTTTTTTATGCATGGTTTCCGTTAGTATTTTTCTTATTATATCATGTTCGGTTCTCCATACATGTCCAAACCATTTCATTTTCTTAATTTTTAGAAATGATAAAATATCATAGTGTTTGTCAACAATAAATATAATATAATATGATATCATATTATGGCAAAATAATTGCACGTATATCAAACATTATCTTTAATAATATTTGTTTAATATTATACCTATTTTCCCGTTTTTCCCAGTTTGTTCCATTCATTGGAAAAATTCCTGGTAAAATCAAAACATAACCTCAATAAAGTACCAGTCAGATTTCCTTTAAAAAAAAATGCTGCCATTGTAAATTCACTATGTGTAATCACTCCACAAAGCCAATATTTCTGAAAACTTAGATTTTTCACAACATTTAAGGAGTATCCTGTAGTTATACCAACTTTGTTTTTTTACGTAAGAACCTATATTAAAAACTCCATAAATAAACAAAATATTGTTTTAAATAAATTTTGGTGTTAAAATGTATGATTTTCGTTGACGAGATATTTCAGTTATAAGCTTAGATAAGGGGAGAGTAATGAAGCACTAATAAAACGCCGCATACTGCACGTCGCGTGCTGTATCGCCACACAAATGATACTTCACAATTCTCCCTCTACCTAAACTTAAACCTAATCTAACCACCTCAGAACAAAAATGAGTTGATACTGAGGGCAGGTGCAGCTACTATTGTAGGTTATAGGTAGAGAAGGTGGAATACATAGTTATTTAATTTATACCTATTACCAAAGATAAACTATTAATAACGAAAAAACGGTTTGGAACAAAGTTCGGTTAAACATGTTTTGAAAAGCCGCAATATTAACGATTTACGTCAAAATTTGATTTTAAAACTTTTATTGAAAATTTTACGTCTGGAAATGGCAAATATAAGTTATCTGTCAAAATTACAATTTTACAAATATTTTTAACTGAATTACATTAAAAAAAACCAAATTTGAAATAATAAAAGAATTATTTACGTAAATTGTCTCGTACATACTACGTATTTTTCGGTTTTGTTCAGTTATTAAAAAACGACTTTCTTACTTGCCAACTAAATTTAAAATACAACAAAAATAATATCATGTAGGTTTTTTAAACTAATATTTTGATTATATGAATATTATATGAATATTAGTAGTAAACATAACCCGTAAACATTTTGAATAAAGGAATTATAGCACTGTACATTTATCTGTTCTCATTTTTTGTCTTTTGTGTTTCCCAATTATTATGAAAAACGCTTAATCAGAAACGATCTTCTTCATGAACAAAAAAGATCTCTAGGTATTTCTAATAGAAAACATAATTAGCAAAAATAAAAAAATCCAGGCAGAAACGTTTCTGTTAATTTGTTGGATAAGTCAGGTAATCATAAAAACATAAAAATCTTTAAAATAAAAATTTGTTTCTGGTTTACCAATACAGGGTGATTTTTTTTATCATGAACCAGCTATTATCTCAGATTATTATAAGTGAATTGGATTTATGGTTTTTCTAATCATGGAATCGTGCTATACGTCCAAGCGACGCGTTGATTCATTTTATTTTATTTTTATACATAAATTTTGTATTTTTATATTTTTTTACTTTAATTAAACATACGTACTTTATGTACCTGCGTATAGTTTAGTAATGTTTTCGGTTAACACACTCAAAAAGTTTGATAAAGTAATACGTATATAATATACAGTTAATCGAAATCGAACACAAATGGTATACCTACTTTTAGAAAGGTTAGAATAGGGATTTTGAATTTTTAAGTTTCGCGCACGGCAAACAAAAATAACATGTAATACTTAAAACTGACATAATATTTATGAACAATTAATAATAAAAGTATTACCAACTACTAAGAATTTTATATTTTGAGTGTAGGGAAAAATTTATTGGTTTTACAAAAATGTTTATGTACTTTTTTTTTTATGTGAACTTTTTTTCTACAAGCATGTTCCGATTTATACAACGTAAACCCTTTTTTGAAAGGAAATATTCTTGGGGTGGTACCTAAGGTAGGTCATTTTTTGATTATATTAAGAGTTTTCTCATCAAATATAAAAAACCGAGCAAAAACGAGAAATTGGTACAATATTATTAAACAAAATATATAATACCTATTTAATTATTGTACCATAATATGACATGTATATTATTGAAAAAGCATCACTATCAACTGATCTCCGCTCAGAATCGTCTTTTCATTAAAAATGGTTAGGTTAGGTTGCTGGTATCATTGCTTACAGATATACATTAAATTCCCTTCTGTATTATACCTTACCAACCTTCCACCTACAACAGTGGCTGCACCCACGTGCGATGTATGTCCGTCCTTTTTAATTTTTTCTTTCTTGCGTTAAATTTATAATATTTATATAAAAATAAGGTAACTTATACCTACACTAAACTACGATCGTGTACTATTGTGACCTGCCTGGCTGCCTACCGAAAATAGTGGGCAACATATTATAATGGAATGAAAAATAAATAATTTTACATTTTGTATTCCATGTATATTGCATACCACATACAATATACATTGTTTAATATTCTAATATATATATACCATGAATATGGAATACTAGGTTGTATAAGCACAAGTATACGACTACGCCGAAGCTCAGTCAGTCAATCCCATTTTTTCATTGAACCGAATGTTACGAAAAATGTTTAATATTAAAAAACTTAAAATTGTTAGAACTAGGAAGTACAATGAAATTACAATACAAGCTTTAAAAAAAATTATAACTGATACGGCGATATTGCATAGTCCGCATTATCATAACAATAATATGAATTATTTGGGTACTATCATTTAGGCTGTACTCTGTAAATGTAAAATTTAGTAACAAATACCTAAAAAGCTAAGAATGAATGTTATAAAATATTGACATTTTTAATTAAAAATCAATAATCCTACAATTGAAATTATGTAAATTTCTTTTTTATGTTTTGCTGCACCGCCAGAAATCAAGAAAAATAAAACCATAAAAATATGCATAGAGGTTGAAGAAATAAAAATGTTGAAAAATTGTTCAAATAAATTACTAATGGGCTAAATTTCAACATGTGCTGAGATACTGCATGAAAAATTTCAAATATTGGTCTAACCGAAAACTACTTTAAAAAAAAAACCAATAAAATGTTTTCCCTTTATATGCTTTAATTGTAATATTTTAAGAACCTCCCCATTCTGGTTATGGAAATATTTTAGGAATTTGAAATTTAAAATCATTAAAAACACACATAATTTCTTTTCAAATTATTAAATAATTAGATTCACAACTCATTTATACTAATCCAGATAATTTTTAAAGTAAACAAATGCAAAATACGAAATAATCAATTATTTTATGTTCTAGATTTTTCTCAAAATTACGTATCAAATAACCCAATAAATATTTTAATGTCTACTGACACAATCAAATAACAAATAATTTATTGAAATAATTTGTTTTTTTTTTTTTTTTTTGTTTAATTTTTCCATTATACATTTGTATTTTATTATTTTACTTGTAATTCATGAAAAAAATTTTAACATTACATTAGTTTACAAGCTGTCTTATTATTTTTAGTAATATTAAATATTAAAATATTGTAAATTAGACACCGTTCGTAAGAATTGAAAATAGATTAATAAATAATTTGGCATGATAACAATTAGGTACATAATATTCTTGTTTTAAAATATAATAATAGGTAGGTAAATGTTTATAATATATGTTATAGTAAATGCATTACCTATCAAATGTTGCGTATTTTTGCTCTTTACACAAATATTTTATACGTAAACCTATATTTATTATTTTTATCTATACACATTTAACTGTTTTATTATATTACACACATTTTTTGTAAATGAAATTTTCTTTTTCCGTAAATTAATAAATAAATAATTCTAAATTCTAAATATCGTACGACTGCCGGGGTACCGACCAACATTATACGTATTTGTCCTTGCGTAGGTATATAAACGAATTGTTTACTATTGTACTTGGAAGATCAGAGTTTAAGTTTATGCAAACAAAATAGCTTTAGGAAAGTCCGGCAAGATATTACTTGTTTTAATTAAGCACTCAAACGTTTAGCACGAATGCAATTTTGACCAACCACATGTTACATCTATTAAGCCCGTCCTGAATACTATTATAATAGGTATAAACTGTCCCATGTTCATCTAATCATCTAAAATCTAGATAGAAGTGTACACGTATTCTACGATATTGTAAACGTTTATCTAACAATCTTACACCAACCTATTGTTCCTCGACCAACAAATAAACTCAGTAAACTTAAATAACAAGCATAAAAAAAAAACAATCTGAAGAAATTAAAAATGCAATATTTAAAAAAACGCAAATTATACACCAATAAACATTTTAGATTTAAAATATATTTCAGCTCCACACAATTTTAGGCCGCCGTATGCAGTACCAACGATGACGCCTATGTGTGTGGGTATGGTGGTGGTATAGAAGTAATTATGGCAGCACTGCTTTTACAAGTTAAAATTTTGACAAAAATCACAGAATTTCATAACACGTTTAACCGAATTTTGCCCTGAATCACTTTTTATTAGCAATGGCTTATCATTGTGTACAAAAATAAATTAAATAACTCTATGTATCCTACTTTCCCTCCTACAACTATAATAGCAACCCCACCAGCTGTATCAGCTCATTTCTTTTTTCTTTTATGTAGACACAAATATTGTAAAATTAACCTATATATTTATCAGCGTTTTAAGTTTAAATTTACAATTTCTTAAGACAACGAATATTAATTGAAGTTATAGTTTATTTAGTTAATTCAGTTCAGTTAATTTAGTAACAAATGAATAACATTTGGAAGTAAAAATAATTTGTTTTGCCAATGACATAGTAATTCTCCTTCATTATAATAATATAGATAATTTATATATTAAAGAAAATGGTATTATCAGATCAACTAAATCATGTTTTAATATATAACCTACTTGAATTAAATTTAAACAAAACAAAATATGTCATTTTTAGTATACAAAATATTTCTATTCGAAGAAATCTCAAATTTGTGTTCATTCATCGCTATTTTTAAAAAAGAATAGTCTATATTGCTTGTGTATATGTATTGTAAACATTAATTATATAAGATAATTAAGGTTGTATATTGACTAACAGTCAAAATGGAATAGGCATATTGAATATCTAATATAGTTAACTCGTAAATTCTTTTACATTTTCCACAACTTAAGATCTTTACTTGATAAAAGGCAATTGAGATTAATTAATATTTCACTTGTTTAATCGATTATAACTTATGGTATAAAGAGATGGAAATACTCTTACGATATCCATTTAAGCAATCTAAAAACTACTAGAAAAAAGTTGATTTAATTTATATTAAAGTTACCAAGCTATACAAGTTCTATTAGTATTTACATTAAGAGTTTAATGTGTTTAATATTGATAAATTATTTAAAAAATGTATACTATTATTTATATATAAGCATACATATATTATTCCAACATGTAAGCATAATTTTTATACTAGATTTAAAAAAAATATTAATGTAACTATGTCTATGTGTTATAAATCTTTTGGTCTCAAAAATTCACCAAGTACTGCTATGATATTATGTAAAGATTTAAATATTAATTTTAACTGTTTTAAGAATAGTAATAATTTCAAGTATAGCATACTTAAACTCATTTAATCCAGTTCTTGGATTAATTCTTTTATTACAGTTCTTGTAATACTATAAATTACCATTGATGTCAATTAAATCACTTATTAGTTAATATTACTATAAGTACCATTTTGTATTATTTTTAAGTAATTTTAACGATTTATCATTATAATGTGTAACTGTAGATTAAGAACTACACCTCCAGTACAGATCAAACTTAAAGGAGGTACGCATTGATTTGAAATTTATTTTTTACCTGTACATTGTATTGCGAAAGACCAATAAATAAATAAACGATATTTTATACCAGAAATATTGCTCAAATAGACCTTTATTGTTGCATTTTTAATCTAGTTCGTGAGTTAGTAATTCGTCTTTTGATTTTCCAATAGTTTGTAATAATTGAGCAAAACCCGGAAAATACGTAAAAAGAACAGTAAAAGTTACGAAAATAATTATTTTATTGTTTTAAATTATGTTTTAGATTTTGAGTGGAGCGAACAATATATTGGTTTTTCAAAGACTTTTTTTTTCAATTTTTTTTTTATGTGAACACTTTTTCTACCAATTAGCATACTCCGATGTACACGATGTAGAACGTTTTCTGAAAGGAAATTTTCTTAGGGTGGTATTTTAAGGTTATTTTATGATTATCTCAGGAATTTTCTCATTAAATGTGAAAAATCGAAAAACCTAAGATAAACGATAAAATGTAAGAAATATATATTAGTAAAATATTACGATATTTTTTCTGTGAAACACTTTTCTACAAGCACTTTTTTGCTCCGATTTACAATAATAGCAATTTTTCTGAAAGGAAATATGACTGGGAAGATACTTAAAAAAAGTTATTTTTCGATTTTCCTAAGAGTTTTTCAAGTAAATGTGAAAAACAGGAAAAAACACGAGAAAGTCAGCACAAATTAGGAAAAATGAGGAAATCGGATCAATATTAAACAAATATTATTACAGAAAATGTATAATGCTTATTTAATTATTTTACCATAATATAACATTTATATTGTTAACAAAGGATCACTATCAACTGAACTCCGCTCAGAATCGTTTTTTCGTAAGCAATAGTTTAACTTTGTTTACAAATACACATTCAATTCCCTTCTGTTTTCTACCTTCCAAACTAATCACCAACAGTGGCTGCACACATTGTGCAAAGTATGTCCGTCTTTTTTAATTTAGTTCAGTTAAAAGTATTCGTAGAGACTTGAAATTTTAAAAGAAAACTTATAGGTAATTGCTATTTCTAGGCATGGTAAAACTTTCAAATCGTACTTAGTGATAAATAAAAATTGAGTGTTGTTACATAGCATACGAGTACATACTTATTTTATATGAGTTTTAAAATCAAATTTTAATAAAAATCGTAAATATTCTGGCTTTTCAAAACGTGTATAGGCAGACCTCGTTTAGAATCGGTTTACATTAGCAATAGTTTATCGTTGATTACGCATATAAATTAAGTAACTTATGTATTCTATCTTACCATATACAAGAGTGCACACTCGTCTCCAGTATCGACGCTTTTTTAATCATGAACCAGCAATTTTCTCAGGTGGTTTTAAGTGAATTTAATTTCTATTTTTTAAAAATTATGGAATCCTTTAGACTTTATTTTAAAAAATATTTTACACCAACTCCATATACCTTAAATAAGTATATACCTTTGTTATTAGTAGTAGGGATAGGAATGAAATACGATTTTAAATAAAAGTTTAAATGATTTCAATATATATATATATATATATATATATAAAAAAAAACTAACCTAAGATAATGAAGACGAGTGCAGCCACTGATCTTAAATTAAAAATTGAAAAATATAACAGTATTTGATAATATTATTTTTAAAAAATCATGACCTAATTATTGGATTATTTACATTTTTTTTAAAAAATTAAAATTTATAATTATCTCAAAATCACTTTTTAGTAGTTACGAAAAACATGAATCAGATTTACTGGAAGTATCTGTTATTACTTAGTATATAGTTATATTTAATATTTTATCGTCTTATGAAAAAAATATATACCTAAACCGCCACTGGACGGGTGTGATCTAACCTAACTAATTAATTAAAAAGATACGATACATTGAATTATTTATATCCGTAAACAACGATAAACAATTGCTAACGAGAAACGATATGGAGCAAAGTTCGATTATAGATGTTTTGAAGAGCCGTAATATTTACGGTTTTCACCAAAATGTAATATTACAACTATTATAAAAAAAAAAAATACTATATTACTCAATTTTTTTTTTTACCATTCATTACGACTTAAATAAACTTAATTATAAATTATCAAGCATTTTTGTTCAGATCACCCAATAATATTCAAATAATATTAAAATGTCTTTATGAATAGCTCAAAAATGACCCAAATTTACAACGTCTAGAAGACTAGAAAAGGAAAACATAAGTTTTGAGCCAAAATTTCAAGTCTGTAGAATTTGTATAATTAAAAATGATATAACCATTAAAATTGTAAATTTTTCCATTCTTTCTTATTTTTTCCGACTTTTCCCAATTATTATGAAAATTACATAAAATCAAAAATTACTTAATTACCAACTAGATAAAAAATTCAACTAAAAAATCTCTTGCCATTTTTTTATTAGACCAATATTTCTGGTAGGAAAAATAGTTCGTATAAATTAAAAACAATGAAATCGATAACGTCGTGGCGTGCCGTAAATATTTATCGTTTTCCGATCATTTTCTTTCGAATTTTTCGGAACTATTTTTAAAACTCTTTAGAAAATCAAATGACCTATTCAATGCATTAACTAAATAAAATTTCTTTTTAAAAAAGGTACTACACTTGATATATCGGAGCAAAATTTCTGGTAGAAAAGTTGCTCACAGACCCAACAAAAATACAAAAATACATAAAGCTACGCTTCGAATCTAAAATGATAAACATTATAACACCAATATATTCCTCGCTACGCTCAGAGTCTAAACAATCACTCTACATATACGTATTATATCCTACTTTCTTCACTTTTTTGGGGGGGTAAAGTATCTTTATTGCGTGAGAATATTGATGGGCTTCACTACCTACTGCACGCAACACTATTATCTATTTTACTTTTGGAACGACGACGTTTGCTTATGCTTCTGCTCATTATTTTTATATAGTAAATATATATTTTAAACAAAACAAAACGCCCATAAACAATTTAAGATTAATGGATAGTAAATCTGATTTAAGAGCAAAATAAATATATAGGTATACGAAAAATATTTATATTATATTTAACATGCAACACGTCAACATGTTATTATAATCAATGTGCTGCAGTCTTTTGAAATTAGCGAAATCAGAAGTATAATATTGATATCATTAGATTGTAAATTGACAAAAATATTATAGTAAAAAATTTAAATAAACCTATACCTAATATATGCTTAGGCTGTTTTTGTAATAAATCAAAACTGGTGAGCTTATATAGAAGTATATAATAATGTATATTTTTCATATATCAAACTTAAATAACTAATAATGAATAATAATTATTGTTTTTAATCGTCTTTTATTGGTAATATGAAATTTAATTCAATTTCAGAATCGTTTTAGTTGGTTTATAATAACAAATCCAGGCATTTACTAATTGGTTTTAATTCATTTAATTGATAACCAAAAAAATTAGTCCAAGACAAAGAAAGAAAATGTCAGTTTACAATCTCCTTAGCATAACTTAATCAGCGGCAGCGGCTTGATAACAGCAATGACATGAATACAAGTATGTGTCCCCCGAATGCATGACATAAGTAATTAGTGAGGGTTTATTAGTTGATCAATTGTCGGTTATACATATTTTAAAAGGCCGTAATATTTACAATTTTCGTCAGTTTAAAACTAAAATTATTACTATAAAAAAAAATATTGAAAAGTACAAAAGTTGTGTATATATTTATTATGGTTGTATACATTTATTATAGTCTTAGTCTTAGTTATCTCTCGCAGCGAAGAAGATCGCTCTATTGTGGTGCAGGATGGGGGTCCTTGGGATCTCCATGCAGAGGACGAGGACAACACGAGCAGGTAGTATCTTTCTCGAAGCACCAAAAAAGGACACGACATATAGAGTGGTGGACATTACCGACCCGCGAAGATGAAAAATTGCAACTAATATATGTGTATGCTTGTAATAGTGTTGTATGGAGTCAGAAATGACCTACATCATAATTATTTCGTTTGATTTTTGATCAATAAACGATGGCAACCCGCCACCTAACACAAAACCCACCGATGGTCCCAGGTGACAAGTATATTGACGACACCGTAAAAAAAAAAAGTTCTTTGTTATCTAGTACTTATAATAGCTAGGTACTTTAAAATATATCATTTGTCTAAATGTATAACCTAACCTAACCTAACCTATAAAAAACTAAATATATATTATTTGATAAAATCTGGTAGAAATGGGTTGTTATTGTAAATGTTTGCAATTGTTGCATGTTTTAAATGGCCGTAATATTTACAGTTTTACACAAAATTTGATATTCAAATTCTTATAGAAAAAAAATAAAAAAAATACTTCATAAAACTCAACTTTTTATTTATAACCATTAAGTAAAACTTATAATAAATCTCCTATTAAATTGTCAACCATTTATATTCGGCCTAACAATTTTATCCTCAGAGTATACCTACCGAATAAATATTACATAAAAAAACTTGCTAAGAAAGTCTATAAAATGTCTATAAAAAGCTCAAAAATGGCTCACATGTTATGAAAATTTTACTACGTTTATATAAGGTAAAAATAAGGTTGCTGTCCAAATTTAAAATCTCTAGAAACATTCTAAACTGAATTACAACAAAACAAAAAAATTAAATTTAAAATTATAAAAGCATTAATTTCGTAAATTTTCCTGTTTTTCCCATTAATTATGAAAGTATAGAAAAATGATAAAATGAGTTCCCTAAATACCACACCAGAAAAATTTTCTTTCAGAAAAAGTGTTACACTTGAAAATTGGAGCAAAGTTGTTAGTAGAAAAGTTGTTCACAAAAAAAAAGACTGTAATATTAACAATTTTAAAATAATACATTTCATACAATGCCCCGTTTTTCCCATTTATTGGGATTTTAGAAAATCAAAAAACGAAAATTATTCCACCTAATAAATAACGACAATATTTACTATTCTTTCACAGAAGTTTTTTAATGTACAGATAATAAAAAATTGTATAAAGCTAAAACATAACAAAAATATGTTTATTTACATACTCAGGTAAGTAAGATTATATGAGTTGTATGTTAATTATTGGTAAGCATTTGTAAGGAAGGGTAAGTATTTTACTCTAGATAGAGGCATCATTTTAATAATTCCCAGGGCGTAAAAAGTCCTAGTTCCACCTCTGTGTACATATATAACTGAAATGGCCAAATATATCATCAACAATTTAAAATAGGTAATGAAAAATATGTAAACATGTTAAATTAAAATACAATTTTTGAACGAAATACATTTATTTTTTTTATATAATAGTATTTTTATTGATATTAAAATAATATAATTAATAATTTATACAAGTGATAATAATTGATATAATATGATTAAATTAAATTAACTTTTTTAAATTTCTTTAAATTAACTGTTTTATGTATTATTTAGTTTTTAATTTATAAGGCATTTATAAGGCACCGGTATGTACGCATCAACATACTCCTGCTTATTTATTTTGCTACAAAAGTCAAATACCGTCAATATACCGTTAACAAATTCATAATTTTGGAAATTTATTAAAATAAAAAAAAAAAAAATAGATCATATAATAACCCTAAAACTGTCACTTTTAATGGAAGCACCGCTACGTGTGAGCGAGATTCAACTGAATTCTTTTCATATTATTTTTCTTCAGTTTACTCTACTGCGAATATTGGGTTGGACGTTGATGGCCTCGATATTTCAACGTTTGACTGGCCCTCTAATGTCCCCTTAAGTGTAAATTCACCTTCGCAACTATCCACCTACAACAGTGACTCCCCCCCCACAGTATCAATTTTTTTTTTTTAAATAGTTTGTGTCTGAAATTAACTTTTCTAACAATAATCATGCTCCAATCTAAAACTTTAACTGGAAGGATTTTTTTTATCTAGTTTATTTCTTTGGGGGAGGGAGCTAGAAGAGCATAGCTTGAATCCAAAATTAGAATATCCTTTTATAGCTTATTACATTTGTATGTGTAATACACAGGTATAATATAAGTGATAACCCATAACACCCCTAAAATACAATGAAATCTCCACCCAAAGGTATCTGACTTTTTTAAATTAAATAGCATAAGAAAAAAAAATTTTTTAATTATTCACAACGATTTAATTTCGTAAAAAATGTTTTTATGTCACGTATACACTCATAGCATATTACTGGTATACAAAGTAATTATATTATTAAATGCACCTTTTCTAAAAATATATTTCACCTTAAAAATTATCCACTTATTAAATAAATTCCAGAAATTGTATTTCAAGTACAGCTGTTACCTAAGTTGTTTTCCTCCACAATAGCAAAGAATAGACATGGTACCTACCTATTATTATTTTTAATTTGAGCATAAACTTAAATATTTTCAAAAACTATAAAACTTCTGAATATAAAGCATAGAATTTGCAATATAAAGTTTCCGTGTAAAATATATATTACTTATTCTCTCGTAGTTTTTTTTCAGTAGTTCGCAATAGTTATTACACTTCACTTGACAGTTCGTAGAATTATCTTCAAAAGAAGTGTCCAGAAAATATAATTTATTTATATTTGGTTTATTTTAAACTATCTTGAATAGAGACCAAGAGCATCCACAGGCACAAATTCAAAAAAGGGGTGGGGGAGGAATAAACCCAGTTTCCATTAGAAATCAAAAACATTACTATTCAATTTTTTTTTTTTTTTAATTAATTAAAAAGTATTATAAATTATTATTCCATGTAAACTGTAATTACACGTAATAAAATATCAACCGTTATTTCAACCTTACATTTTTTACATTTCAAATAAAGATTTTAATTTTCTATAATATTTTCTAAATAATTTATTATTTTAAATCTAACGAGAGAGAAGTTGTCCCTTTATTCACTTAATGAACGTCTATGTTAGCTACCAAATTTTGACTACCCCAAAAAGTGTATATAGTTATAATAAATTATAATTTATAAATCAACCTTGACTCATCTAATAAAAAAAATTGTTTAATGCCAACCAAAGGAAAAAATGAAAACTACTTTAAATAAATTTATTTAATACAAAAAATTAAAAACAAAAACACAAATATACATAATAAAATCTATTCAATAGTGGATAAATAATAAAAAATATAAATATATTATAATATATTCAGAATAATATTTGTATTAAATGCTTTTCATAGTTAAAATGCATTGCTTGTTTAACATAATTCCACAATGAAAAAAATATGTTATCTACGTTTAAGAATAAGAGATTTTAATTTCGTTACTATTTATAACTTCTAAATTGTAAGTGTGTTAGCGCATAGTATCTATGGAATTTAAAATGAAATGTTTTTTTTTCTACTTCAGAAAACAATATTAAGGACATTCAACGTGTTCCAAAATATCTAAATATTTAGAAATGAAAGTGAATTACCTAATCAAATATACTGTGTCTTTGAAATCATAAAATGTTAACTACTTTAGTGTATATTTTAACTAAACTGAAACGTTTAGTAAAATCATAACCGTATTAGAAAATATTTAGATCACTTTAACTAAATAAAACGGAACCGTTGCACGTTGTTTATACACATTTTCAATTAAAAGTTCCAGATTGATCATCCTATAAACCATTTATCAATTTCTAATTGATGAAAAAGTACCTATACATATTATAGATACAAACGCTTTGGTAAACTACACACTCACATAAATTTACGCACACCAGTTACAAGCACCAAAAAAAAATACCTATGTTTGTAATTTGTAAAAGTGTAAAATCAATAACCTTCTCGTAGCAAACCAAAACTTAAATTAATAATATGAAAAAAAAGAGCAGACAATGCTGATGGGTGTGTTATTGCTGTATAGGTAGAATTTCGCAAAGATAGAATACATAATGTTATTTAATTTATATCTGTACGCAACAATAAATCAAAACTAACGGAATACAATTCTGAGTTATACCGTAATTTTTACAATTTTGGTCAAAATTAGAACTTAAAACACCAGTGCCGTGCTAACTATCATTGGCGCCCCAGAGCAATATATTTGGCACCCCTATTAAACATATACATATTTCATCCTCTAAAAAATCGCTTTCTATAAACTCGCATTAACTTTTTTAGTCTGATATTATTTATATCATAAACATTTTAACCTATATTTTATTAAACCTTAAGGATTAATTAAAAGATTAAAGATTTCAGATTCTGAATGACGCGAGAAATGTATTGGTTTTACAACTATGCTTAATGCTTATTTTTTTTTTCTATGGATAACTTTTCTACCAGCAATTTTTCTACGATTTTCAATGATAGCGCTTTATCCAAAAGAAAATCTGACCAAGGTACTTTAAGGCAGTCGTTTTTTTTTATTTTCCCATGAATTTCCCCAATAAATTGGAAAACTCGGGAAAAACGTAGAAAAAACGAGAAAATAGGTATAAACAATATATAACAAAAAGTATAACAAATATCATTAAATAAAAAAATAGTTAAGTAAAAACAAAATTAATAAAATAGTTAATACTCATAAATAAATATATAAATAAAAAATTTATACATAAAAATAGAAAGAAATAAATGAATAAATGCGTCACCTGAAATATTGTGATAATTGTATTATACGACCGGTTTCAAATTAAAAATTCAACAGGTATGTCACAGTTCAAATGTAAAACACGAATGAATAAAAAAAATTAATTAAAGGAATACATAAAAAAAAAAGACGTCCTATTATGAGACTGGTGCAGCCACTGGTATGGGTAATTTAATGTATATCTGTAAGCAACGATTACCATTGCTAACGAAAAAGCGATTCTGAGTTCAGTTGATAGTGATCAACAATATACATGTCATATTATAGTAAAATGATTAAATAGGCATTAAATATATTCTTTGATAATATTTTTTTAACATTGTAACTTTTTCTCGTTTTTCCGGTTTTCTCATGTTTTTTATAGGTTTCTTACATTTGCTAAGAAAACTCTTGAGAAAACCGAAAAATAACCTTCCCAGTCAGATTTATTTTCAGAAAAAATTCTATTATTGTAATCGAACCAAAATTGCTGGTAGAAAAGTTATCTACAGAAAAAAAAAGTATTATTTTACTAATTTATTTTGAACATTTTCCTGTTTTTTCTCCATTTTTCACATTTATTGGAAAAACTTCTCGGGAAATCTATAATGATCTTCCTAAAGTACCTTCTCAGTCAAACTTCCTTTCAGAAAAAGTGCTATTATTTTAAATCGGAGCGAAATTGCTGGTAGAAAAGTTTGCACTACTAATCGAGGGGTATTATGTGATTAAAATAGTCCGGGGCAGCGATAAGTACACCCAAAATGCATTTGTTTTTGCTGAAATCGGGACTCCTAATAATAATAGGCATATATAATCATTTAATCAAGACAAATATTTTTCAGAGAAATAATATATTTATTTAACATAACATATAACATCCACATAATATATATCAGAGCTACAAAAAGTCAATCCGCTCAATTCTGACTTCACCGTCGTTCTTAAATCGGCCATATACATAATATGTTAAAAAAATAAAAATGAAAAATTAGATTTATTCCACATAATTTTTTACTCAAACGATAAACGATTTTCGTTAAAATTTGATATTAAAATTCCTTTATAAAAAAAAAAATACTACAATTAATTCAATTAACTACAATTAACGTCGTTTTTTACCACGAAGTAAGACTTTAAATGAACCTCCTGAAAAATACTAAAATAATTTTCGTGAATTTCCGTTTTTCTTACGTTGTCTCCTATAAACTTTTCTTTATTTCATTGTATAAATAAATAAATAAATAAATAAATAAATATATGTAATCCTTCTAAAACTGAATTAATGTAAATGTTATTTTGAGTATTCAATATCTCTAATAGTCTGATTAATATCAAAGCTTATGTTATGGTTATTTTCTAAAACATGTTTAATGAAATTTGAACTAGAGGCGATCTTTTTTAATTTTATTTCAGAAATGTGTTCTTTATATCTTATTTTAAAATTTCTATTTGTCTTACTTATATACAATTTATTACAGTTTATATATTTGAGTTTATGTATACCAGCATTTTCAAAAAAAAGGGGGTTTTTGTGAAGATTTTAGTTCTATCCGAGGTTCTATTGTTTATATGATTCATTACAAGGGCATAATGAAGGGGAGATAAGGAAGATAGATCCCATAGAGCGTTCATATAATGTTTAAAAAAAATTATAAACTAAAAATATATATTCAATTTATTTAAATAATATAATGAATTTAAAGAAATCTATTAATGAGTAACGATGCATCATTATTTTTTTTTTTTTTTGACTATATTATTTAATCTATGATTATTATTGAGATAAACCATTTCTACTTTTTAAACTTTCAGTAGTCGATGGTTATTACACTATTAATACTATAATAATATTATATTCTATAATTCAGGGATGACCTACCCACAGCCCGTGGGCCACATAAGGTCCGCCTTGAATAATTTTATGGCCCTTGAGATTTATCACAAATTTGCAAATATAGAATCTATTTTATAAAATTAAAAGATCATTTTATTTGTTTCCGCTGTATTTAAACGTTTTTTATAAAAATATAATTTAATTTTAATATACAAATATTCAATATTTAATTGTGAATAATTTATTATAATATTGTACAAGTATAATATGACATATATATTGTTGACAAAGCAACACTATTACCGAACTCCGTTCAGAATCATTTTTCATTAACAATAGTTAATCGTTGCATATATACATTCAATTTCCCTTCTGCCTTCCTTAATTCTCACTTATATACTTGGAATTTGGACAAATAAATTATATTTGCCTTTTTTAAGCGTAATAAAATTTGCACAACATTTTAGCCATTTTTGAGTTTTTTAAAAACATTATAATTTTGCTAGTTTTGTATTTAATTTTTATTCAGTAGGTAGATACTCTGTGGATAAAATTGTTAGACCAAACAGAAATATATGACAATTTAACAAAAGGTTTATTATAAGATATACTTTATGGTCAAAAAATAAAATTGAATGTTATGTAGAATTTTTTTATACACATTTTACTATCAAATTTTGACGAAAATGTAATCAAAGTCATATCAAAAATAGTTTTATCTAAACTTAGAAAAATGCATCAACGTTTTACGAGAAAGTTGTAAGTAAATTTATAATAATAGAACGAAGAATTTAATTTAAATTTAAATTATTTTTTTAATATTTAAAATATAATATATGTTTATTTTTTTTAATATTTTAAGTTACCTACTTCTTAAGATAACAAACATTTTGAATTTTAAAACTAAAATATTTAAAGTATTTATTATTAAAATAATATATACATACATTGTCAATAAAATAAAATAAAAAATTTTAACACCCAATTTAACGCGGGCCTTTTTTTTTTGTTTATAGTAATAAGTACTAGCATATCAAAATTAAGTATACTAAATAATATAATTTATTAATGTTCATTCAAAATTAAAATATATTAAATTTGGACAAAAATAATTTTTTAAGGGTAAATATTGTAATTGGGAAAACTATAGATTATAAAACATGACATTTGGTTACACAATTGAAGATAATGTATTACAAACCATAGATAATATTATATATGTATTTCGTCGGTAGATATTTTATAAAATTAATAATTATTATTATTAGATACCTAGGTAATATAATTGTACACTTTTTAATAATTAAACTTGTATTGTGTTTACTACACAAGAAAATAACATACCAATAGGTACAAAATAAATGTACAATATAAATTAAAAACAATAACTACAATATTATTTTATTATTTCATTAATAATAATAAAAGTAAACGAAAACAAAACTTTCTGACAAACCGACTGTCACAGTATCGTACAAATTAACACTATTCTCTCATATTTTAATCAGTGGATAAAATATAAGTTTCATCAAGTTTAAAGATAGTTTTAATCTTTAATGGCTGCTTTATTTCTCCTTTGTCGATATTAAATATGTGTACTATTGTGACCATCAGATTTCAATAAAAACCTCAAGATTGGCTCAACTATGTTTAAATAACATAATTTAATAATATATATTAATATTATTACTTAATACTACCTACATTATTATATTATTACCTATTCCTATCTCTTATTTTTGTACACATCTCTATAGTATCTCTTTAAGTGGTATTATTTGGTTAACTCGTTGATATTTAAGTTTTTTTGTAAAAATAGTACCTAGCTATAAGCTATAGTACCTAATAGATTTTAAAACGATAATATAATTAATAATATACTTAAAAATTTATTTTCATCATGGATGGTAAATCCTAAATGGATAATATAATAATAGTTGATATAGTCAGTTAAAGTGGATAGATGTATAATGTATGATATTCGTCCCTGTGGACGGTTTCCCTCAACGAGGTCAGCTCTCTGAATATTACTATACCTACCCGAGTTCAGTATATGTATGCAGTTGTGAAAAAGAAAATCTTTCTGTGAAAACATTAATATTCAAGTACTGCTTTGGGACGTAATTTATTACAGGCGAATGAAAGAATAAGAAAAGTAACAGTAAGCTATCTAAATAAAAATGGCTACATAAATTTGATACCTATATATAATAAAAAATAGTATTTTAAAAGAATATAAAATATATATATATAATAAACGATTACATTTTCATCAGATTCCGGATATTATATTATATTCACTTATATATTTTAAAATATACCACCAGTTGATTCAAATAAGAGTTGCTATAATAGTACTTCTTTTCTCGGTCAATGTGTATTTTTATTTTCTCTATGGTTTGAAGTATGTTGGTAAGTAGGTACTTAATATTATTATACCCACTACATTTTTATAAATAATAAAAACTTTGTACCCACCTCTGTTGTTTGGCAATAGTTTCGTTTAGGTAACATTTTTTAGGTAGCTACTGTGTAGCTTTTAGATTGTCATCTATATATTTTTCAATTTAAAATTCTCAAACAAAATACTTTTTCTAAAAATGAAAAAGTAAAATATATTGAATACCAAATACTAATAGTAAAAAAACAAATTTTTTTAATACATAAGTCTATAACCATATATGAGCATTTAGAGGTTAAATTAATGAAATGGAAGGTCCGAAAAATAATTGTAAACTAACATATTATTTTTTCATCTCTTTACTAAACTAACTCTACTTTTCTAAATTTTAAACAATTATTTAATAATAAACTATTAATTCAATATAATATTTTATGTATAGGTAAATACATAAAAATATTCAACAAATATAATTCTTCAAAAAATGTAATTAAAATTAGGGATTATCTCCATCACAAATACGAAAAACAAATCAATGAAGTAAAAACAAAATATACTAACTGATGCAAAAATTATTCTAGCATCATCACTCTAAATCTTATCTGATATATTTAAAAATACCATGCCGTATGAAAGAAACTAAACACGATTTTTGTTTATTGTTTAATTTAGGATTTATTTTCAGTTTTCAACAGTAATACTTTTTAAGACAAAAAAATTATATACTAAGAAACCCAGGCCCATTGTAAAATATTTTCTACCCTACACTTTATTGCTGTACTTTTTGACGATAATTATTTTAATTTTGCCGCTTCAATTTTTTTAAATTTTATGCTGCCCTAAAGCAAAGAATGATTTGCTTGTACCCTAGCAACGGCTTGAAGAAACCTACATATTATATATTTTCAACATTGCATAATCTATAATAGTTATATTAAAATGTTTAAACATATATACAGAATTAGCTATGTATTTTAGTATAAATAAATCCGATTTACAACTTTAATGAGATATTAATGAAATTAATTATTAACATTATAAATTCTTTATTCAATTTTAAATTAAATGTTGTATTCCTGTGCGTCACAGATTACATTTTTGTATAAGTACATTTGACTAAAAGGTACATAGAGGTATGTAATTTGTATGCAAATACATTTTATTGAAAAAAAACTTGTAGAAAAACATTAATATTGCTTTATTAACCAGAAATCAAAATGTATACTTCAAAATTTGCATATGTATTGTCAGCAAAAACATATTAATTTTAAATGTATATTTTCTCATTTCTGTATGTTTTAAATCGATAAATTAAAAATTTGAATAAAATATCAATGTATAATATTTAATAATAATGGGCAACGATATAATTTTGGGTATCGATATCGTTCTGATTTTCCCGATATTGTATCGCAATATCGTAAGGTATAGTGAGTTTTACGATATCGTTATCATATCGAAAATATCGAAAATATCGAAAATATTTTAAAACTATTAAGTTATTTAATATCATACAGTGAATGATAAGGCGTAGGTAATGTACAAAAAAAAAATAACGAACGTTTAAACAATTATATCACACGACATCACATCGACGACACAAATTACACTGTGAATCAAATTATCCAATGGTACTAATGCCTTGTTCAAATATCAAACGTATTTTATCAATGAGCAAAATATAACATTGAATAGTGAATTCAACAATATGGGCAAATCGAAAAAAAAAGTATTTTTGAACTATAAAAGACCACGAAAAGAAAAAATTAAACAATTTTTGATGTTTAAAAAACACAGTACTCCATGTTAAAAAAAATAATGGTTCAAACTAAAAATATTTACGACTTTTCGTTGGCGATATACGGGCATTTGAAGTTGACGTGTGATGCCATAGAATCTATTCTCATGGCGTTTATACATGTAAATAATACGTCTTCAACTTTATTCACCATTATTATGAGCGTAATATTCAATATACCGAGTTGGGTCTAAGAGATATTTTTAAAGTTCATAATTTTCTATTTATTTAATGTTATAATATTATATAATAAACTATAACAATAACAATAATTATAGTTGCAGTCATAATATGATACTGTTCAACAGTCTATATTATTGTAATCGTTGATATTCTCAGTTCCCACTCCCATACCAATGTTATAAATATTAGTTTTGGATATTGCACACAACATTTAGTTCAGATTATTGACAACCACGCCAATTATTTATTTATATGAAGCAATGATCTACCAAAGCATTGGCTAAAATCATTATGGTTAGTATTAATAGAATCATATTCATCGGAAAAATCTAATTTCGTCGGTTCAAATTGATATAGTGATATCATATTGATAAGTTAACTACAATCGTAATTTATTTTCAAATACATTCAAAGAAACACGGAACAATACTAAAATAGTGTATACTAATCCATTCCTAGAAGAAAACGACAAAAACCAGTTTTGTCAGTAAGAACTAAAAATAAAAATAAATATTATGTATCCCGTAATTATTTTTGTACACAAAAATATCAAATCCAAAATAATATGTAATAATATGTACGACGTGCGTGGAGCCGTACTGGGCTCCAGTGAGATTAGATTCTATGACGTCACGCGCTAACTTTAAATGACTATAACTCGCTAACGAAAAGTCGTAGATAAGTTTAATTTGGACTTCTGTTTTTCTTTAATTAAGCATTTTTTTTTTTTTAAGAATTAGTTGCTTTTTTTCCTTTCATGGTCCTACAAGAAACTACGTAATACCTAACTTTACAGATAACATTAGAACTTATATAATAATATTATAACGTTATCGGTCGACAGATATTATTATTCAATATTCATCATAGCTACAAATAATTCCCTATGTAGGATATAATATTGATATCGAAATTTTGTCACAATATTGATATCGTATCGAATTATCGATATTGTTGCCCATCACTATTGTTTAATAATAATTGTAAAATTACTATAACATTGTATAGGTTAAAAAAAGGTTGAAAGATAGATACTTTAATTTAAGTATAATGAAAGTTTGCTTACATAAATAAATATAAATACAATAAGAGTTTCCAGCAATAAATTCTTTCTACTTTTTTCTAAATTCTCAGCGTAGAGACGAATATATTGGTTTTACTAAGATGTGTTTATTATTTTCTGTCTGTTAACCAATTTTTTACCAGTAATCTTACTTCAATCATCAACTTCAATGGTAAGTTTTAGTGTCAAACTTTTTCTAGCTAGTGAATTGAGAACCAGAACAGTGATTTTTTTTTATTTTCCTTGTAATTTTCTTTATGATAGAAAAAAACCATGAAAAACCATTAGTAAAACAAGAATATTTACGCAGTGACAATTAATTTAGATTTTCTAAGAATTCAGTGAAAATATTTGTATTAACTAGAAATTTTCACTAAATACTTATATTATAAACATAGCACAGTTTACAAAACTTTTTAATAATTTTGAATTAAGTATAAATAAATATTTAATAGTTTTAAATTTTTTTTTTTTTAGTCTTATGGGAATAATAGTTGTTATGTAATCATGAAAATAATTATACATAATATTGTATGTAATATTAATCAGTGATTTACCCTCTATTTCATTATTCTAGATTTTACGAGTTGTGGATTTCTACCAGAAATCTTTATCCAATCGAAAAAAGAAACAAGACACCTTTTTTGTTGCATTTTAAATCTACTTGGTACATTGAAAAGGTTATTCTTTAATTTTTCAATGAGTTTTCATAATAATTAGGAAAACAAAAAACACGTAAAAAATACGGGAAAGTTGACGGCATTAATGGGTTCGTATTTTTCGATTTTGGTTTTTGTTGTAAATCAGTTAAAAATTATCGTAGAGTACTAAAATTTTCAGTTTGCAATATTTATAGACATTTTACATTTTCATATTTTTTTTTTTTAGATTTTCTTTGTTGGGTTCTATGTGGATAAAATTGTTTAATCAAACATAAACGCTTAACAATTTAACACAAGGTTCATTATAAGTTAGGTTCACTATCAAAAAAAAGTTGAGCATAATGTTCATTTGTAATGTGTGGTACCTATATACAAATCACAGAATACAAACATAATAATGAGTATATATGAGTAATATTTTTATAGTAAATGTCTATTTTCGTTTTCAATTCGACGAGTCACGTATATTATTAGGTAGGTACATATATCTTGGTCCATGATTTGAAGATTATAATTTATAATCGTTATTCGTTATTAACATTGATAATATGGTTATTAAATAAAAACTGTTTTGTATATTAATAATAATCTATGGTTTTTTATGATATATTTTAGGGTTTTATAAATGTTTAGTTGGCACCATTGCTCCCAACATTCATTAAAATATAATGGGATTGAACCACTAGTAGAACCACTAGTAGAACCCCTAAATACAACTCTATAGATAACTTTAAAAATATTTAGGTACCATTCAAATTTCCTAAGTGTAATATGTACATTCAATAGTAGGTACTATGGACTATGGATGATGTATTTGGATAATATTATTATTCAATTACTTTCCCTATATAACGATCAATACACCATTTCATTTTATTTTTTTTTGCTCAGTCAGGCCACTTAAAACTAGTAGGTACCTACAATATAAATAATGAGTTTAAAATTGCAATTTCTATAGTAAGTTTCTATAAATAAATAAATAAATACAATAAAATATATATATTAAATAAATATATAAATACAAATAAAAATATAAATAAATGAATGAATGCGTCGCCTGGAGTATTATGATAGGTGTATTACACGACCGGTTTCAAATTAAAAATTCATCATCAGGTACATCACAGTCAAAATGTAAAACGCGACTGCATTCATTTATTTATTTTCTATTTTTATACAAACATTTTTTATTTATATATTTATTTACGAGTATTAACCATTTTAAAAATTGTGTTTTTACTTTATTATTTTACAAGAAAAAATTTAATCACACTAATGTTCAATATAACATTATATTTGTGAGATACTTAGGTATCGGAAACAAATAAACTATTTATTTACCTTATCTGTTTTATGTCATTTTTTCGTAACCGTAATCAGTATGACGATACTTACTGAACTCGTCATATTAAATTCCAAGTGGAGTAAAGAAACATGGTTTTAATAAAGGTGTTTAGCTTTTATTTTTTTTTTTTCTGTAGACAACTTTTTTATCAGCAATTTTGCTCCAACATTTAATGATAGCAGTTTATCTAAAAGAAAATTTCACCGGGGAAGTACTTTAAAGAGGTCAGTTTTCGATTTTCTCCGGAGTTTTCTCAGCAAATGTGAAAAACTGGGAAAAAACATAGGAAAAACGTATAAAAATCGGGAAAATCAATAATAATAATCGAATATTTATTAAAGAATACATATAGAGCCTATTTAATTATTTTCCTATAATTTGGTATACATATTGTTGACTATCAACTGAACTCCGCTCAGAATGGTTTTTTTCGTAAGCAATGGTTTATTGTTGCTTACAGGTATACATTAAATTACCCTTAACAGTGGCTGGCACCCGTCCTCATTATCCTAGGAAGTCTTTTTAAATAGTAGGTATTGAAGAAAAGAGCTTACCTCAAAAACGAATTCGTCCAATAGTTTAAACGTTACACAAATATACAAGCCATGCTTTAAAACGTTCGCGAAAACTAACGAGCTACTCGGAACAATTTAGAAACGTGACTAAAGTCATACGCGGGAAATGCGCACACGGAAGTCAAAAGCTTAACGGTTTACAGTGCTGACGCATTTGATAAACAAAAAACGCAATTCAGTATACTATACAGATAAAATATTTTGACTTCAACAATGTTATCGGCAATACTATAGAGCAGCCTGCGGTTCTCGACATTTTTATATCCGGGTACCATTTACAAATTTTAAAATTGTTCACGTACTACTTGACATGGTTTATTAAACTTTTTTTTTTACTTATTAAAAATTAAACGTGTATTATTTTATATGTACCTACCTATATATTATTAAATCTATATAATTAAAAGCATTTAATGCACAAAAGTAAAATTAAATATTTATCTACTTAGGTACAGTTATTATTTTTATTATTTATGGATTAACAAACTACTTTATGTATGACTAATAACTTTTTTTTACCTACTTGCCAATCGAAAAATTTCTTACGTACCACCTACGAGCTTTCCATATAGATTGAGAGTAGGTATATAGATATTATTATAATAATACAGACAATATACAGTATTCTGTGATTATTCACAGTCACACAGCATCACCGACAATTAATACTTAAATATTTAAAAATCTGAATTTGTAATCTCGATTTTCCAAATTTTACAGTAATAAAATACAACTACTATTCGCAAAATGTTATCTTTTCAATTTTAATTATCATTATCAGCTACCTACTACTTAAATATAGCACAATTCATATATGTATCTATAGTATTTGTAATTGTAATTACCTATACCGTCGAGTACATAAATATGGATATAAATTTAGATTATTATCTACATTTGTGGTCGAGTATGATTGTATAAACAAGACTATTCTAATTTAGAATTTCTAATTGACTGATCTGAATGATAAAATGGAAGACTAGTAATTCATGATTAGTGAAAAATACGACATATTTATAAAATATAAATGTACCTAATGAAAATTATTATTATTAACTGTAGTCTATGAGTAAGTAATCAAATCAGTCTGCATTTTAGTACGTCCCATTGTATTAATTATTCATAAAAGATTACTTTCGTGTTATTTAAAATAGAATTAAAAATTAAGATTTTAATCTAAAATAATTTAAGATAAATTGTCATATTTAAACAATCAATTTAATCTCAATATCAATACCTATAATAATATTAACATTTTATTGTGTGTGAGACCTTTATAAGTTAGGTCATAGGTACCTACCTACCCAGGGCCGTATTTAGGGATTTTGCGCCCCTTTCCAACACAATTTTGTTTTTAATATATAATAGTAGTGGTGGCTAATTTTTCTTTTACTGGGGGCCATACAATTAATTAATTTTTTATGTTTCCTTTTCTCGTTGATAATTTAATTCACAGCTAAGTTTTAACAATTTTAACTTGGTACCCATTCTCTATACATTTTTAATAGTAGATATAAAAAAAAAAAAAAAACAAATAACTAATTTATAACTTATGTACTATCTATCTAGAATCTACTATAGTAAACATAATAATGAGTGATTTATAATTAATAATATGTAATATTATAATATTTAATGTTCATTTTACATTTTTTTTCTTGATTGAATATCAGCAAAATTATCTATAATGTCTTTATATTTAATTTGTTTTGTTATGTGTGCTTCAATATTTAATATTGCAAGTGTGTTTAATCTCTCTTTAGATATTGTTGACCTATATCTAAAATCTTTATTTATAAAGTAAAAAGGAAACTATTTAAGTATTACAATTTACAATTTTTATAATTATAAATAATTACAGTTTATTTTCTTACAGTATTTTGACTTAATCATCAGTTTAAACATGGTATTTATTTTTTTTATATTTTTTAAAACTTCATTAAGTTTTTGCTTCTTTTTTTTTTGCTTCCTTACAATTGCAGACACCACTAGCTTTGACTCTTTTTGGCGGCATTAAAGTATACTAGAGTTGTTAGTTGAAATTTGCCGGTTTTACTAATAGATGTCGTTAGAGATATGTATACATTTCTATGATTTGGCATCTATGTCATATTCTTCTATGGACATTAACTTTTAAAAATACACAAATTGCATTCTGCCAAAATAATAGCGTCATGGTTGTTTACCTCAGTGAATATGTCGAATTTCGTTCCAAGTAAATCGCATTTGCGACATTCGTTGCTTTCTTATTTCATCAAAAGAAAAAGGCAGCTGAAGCTCATCTGTTGCTGGTAGAAACTTATGGTGAACATGCTCCAATGATTAGAACATGCGAGACATAGTTTCGTCAATTTAAAAATGGAGATTTCGATTTAACAGACAATGAACATCCTGGTGCAGCGAAAAAGTTTGAAGACGAGTAATTGCAGGCCTTATTGGATAAAGACCCAACTCAATCGCAACAACAATTGGCACAAACACTAAATGTGACCCGAGGAGCAATTTGCCAACATTTAAAAGCCATGGGAAAGATTCAAAAGTAATTTTGGTAATTTCAACTAAACAAATTGTTATGACACAATTATACTTATATAGTCTTACTTATTTATTATTATTTACCTACTATGGTTAAATTACTGCATTCAATTTATAGTAAATATATAAATACCTCCAATAATTGTAGCGTACATACCTTAACTGGCATTACCTTACAATATCAATTATAAAGTTGTAAGTTTTAATATTAATCAATATTATTACAAATAATATAATATTAATAATAATATTTTATTTATTTTATATTATATAACAATTCAAAAAACAGTTCTCTTATTTCTATTATTGGTTCACTTATAGAAATAGATTTAAATTATGTAGGTACAGAGTATGTAATAATCACTAACTTATAGAGTTTAGCAAATTGTACATAGGTAATATTATGATATGAAACGACACAAATGTTTTTTAGTAGATAAGTATAGTACTACAATATACAACTGAATCTTATACATTATACATTATAATTTAACATAAACTAAATCAACTTACCTTCTAATAAATTACAATCAAAATTCAAAGTATCAAACATATACTTACACAAAAATAACAAAACCATATGCTTCGTACGGTGACAATAAATTAGGTAGTCGATTAGTTTACTATTCAAATTTTGAAAATAATGGAAAAATTACACCTGTTAAATAACACTTATATGAACATATTTTTAATTATGAATTTAATAATGTTTTATTTCCTCAAAAAAGAACCCATGTTACACTTGCGAGGCTTATAAAAATACTATTATAAAAACTTAGAAGTAATTATTATAGAAAATAATAGATTCAGAATTTATTTAATTTAAATAAAAGTGTATGTTTTATTTTTTTGTACAAAAAAAATATATTTTGTGCGTTATAAATTTGTAATTATTTGTTTGGTATTTTTTTTTTTATTTTGTAACCTACTGTATTTCCTAGAACAGTTTTTATAATATGAAATATTATTTAAAACTATTTTTATAAAAATTAACATTTTAAATTAAAATGTTAAGGTATATTTTTAAGGTATGTTATGTTATAAGTTGGGATTATTGTTTAAAATATTTATTATAGTAATGTATTAAGAGGACGCTATACCCAAATGTGTTATCTCAGTACAACTAACAGGTGATATAGCAAAATCTACCTTATGCAGTCTCCGTAGAATGCGCTTAATTTTGGTTTTAGAGTAAAAGCACATATAAGGAATTAAAAGAGAAAAATATTCCAGAAGACAAGACGATGCATTTAATTTTTTATATTCATTTTTTAATTTGTCACAGTTATTTAAAAACAAAAAAATTAGGTTTTATTCTTAAATGATGTACTAAATGTTATAACCGGAATAATAATTAGAATAATAGGAAAAACGCATTGGCTTGCTCAATGAAATATTGTCCTCTTTTAATTTTATAATAGGTGTTTTTATCCTAAAACCAAAATCAAACGAGTTCTATATAGACTGTGCAAGATCGATTTTGGTATATCGCTTGTTAGTTGGAATGAAACAGCACATACATGTACAATGTCCTCTTAACTCAAAAAAAGTTAGTTTTGTCCATGAAGGCATAGAATTTTTTTTTAAATCTATTGTATCAATATTTAATTAAATATACAAACAATATAATGACAAAACTGTATGACTATACATAATACACTTTTAGTTTTAAGAGTCTTTAAAAATTCATAAAATCTTGAAACACATTTTTCTCAAAATATGGAGTTTTGATGTATTCATAATGGGATTTGTCCATTATTATATTTCAATGTTCTTCCGATGATAGAATCGAACACCATCTCTATTAAAAGACAGAATTGTACAGTTTTGTTATATTAAATGCATTTTAATTAAATATAAAATTATTAAATTTACCACATTCTGACAAAAGTCTTAATGTAGTTACCATTCTTTGTCTAATGGTCCAAACCCTCATCTATCACTAGGTTGTAGTCTGGACACTTGGCATAATAAGTTGTTTATAATTTGTTCATTGATGAACTATATTGAAAAGAACACAACTAAGAAGATGTTTAAAGTTTTTTTTAATTGCAAAATATTGTTCAAAGAAAACTATATTTTGGATAATTTTCATAGAGGATTTATCAAATTTCTCGTTACTCTATTCATGAAATTCTTATTTTTTTATTAAAAAATTACTTCTGAAAAAACTTTTTGTTATCATTCTAATTCTATAATTTTACATTCTCCTTATTTTTGGGGATAAAACGAATACTTAATTTTAATTTTCAAATACCAAACCTATATTAAAATTTCTATAACTATAAAATAGATGAAGTTTTAGTTAAAATAAATGTTGATGTTAACAATTATAAATTCTGTACATTCGTTGATGAGATATTCTACTTTAAGTATGGATATAGAGTAGTAGAGTACAAATAATGCTCCACTTTAAAAACTTCTTTATTTATTTATGACAATTTTAGTAAAGGTTGCTATTTGAAAATCAAAATTAAGTAGTTGTATCATTAACTAAAATAAAGATGAAAAAATAAGTACAATGTAACATTTTAAAATATATGATTCCAAAAAGTTTTTAAATAAATTGTTTGAAAAAATAAATATTTTAAGCACAACTTTACTATAATATGAAATTTGATTAATTCTGTATAATAATGTGTATATCAATACAATTTTATAATTTAATGAATGTCTGTGACCTTTTGGTTTCATTATTTGAGATTTTAGTTGAAGTATAAAAAATTCAATATGGTTGGATTTAATTGACTGATAATCTTAGTAGTACCTAGGTATTTTGAAGATCCAAATTTCTCAGCCAATTTCACTATCTATTTCTTAACAATCATTTTTTTTTTTTTTTAATTTCGTTGTTTCAAAACATAACTATTTGCACTTGGTTGTTGATAATGTTAACTAGGAATAATCATTTGGTTCAATGATGTGTTTAGGTTCCTACGCCATACACATACATGATCTTCAATAAAAATTGTACTTGTATAGTTTTCCAGACCACATCCTTTGGCATCCCTTAAATATGAAATTTATAATTTTTGTGTAAAATACTAACAATAAGCATTTAAAAGTTAAAACGACTACTGGACAAATATCACAAAAAATAAACAACATAATAAATACAGTACTTGCTGGTAAATATAAAGTATATAAACAATTCTTTAAACTTAAAAATTAATTAAGAATCCTAACTTCCAACAAAGAGAACCATTTTATTTATTTAATTATATTTAATGGGTAGATAAATGTCAAAAATTACCTAAGTACTTAATATAAACATGTACTACATTGTCACATCACCATAAAATTAACCCAAAGAACATACAAATATAACCAATAAATACAACACAAATATTGTTTTATAACTTTATTTGATGGCAAATATATAGAAGCTAATGATACTTTCTTTAATTCATTAGTTTTGGGCACTCGCCAGATGAATCAAAATGTTGATGGAAAACCACATAACATCGACACATAATAGTAGGTAACTTTTTAAAGTTTTAATGATTCGTCATTATTTTGTCTAATGAACATGTCTGAACTATTATATCTATATTCTACACTATATTAATTATATTATTAAGCCTTGATTTAATATTTTAATGTTTATTAAAACGAAAACTAATACATTAAGACTTGATTCCGTGATAATACTAATTTCCTATCACAATTATAGATAACGAGTTGATTACGGTAATACCATGGAGATATCCACAGATATCTAAATTAGAAATTTTGATATACATAACACTAATATCAACATTTCTAGATTTCAAAATCTTTATTCAAATCTGTGTTAAAAAGAAGAGGTTCCTAATTGAAAATCAAAAATATGAACTTATTTTAGATACATGGAGCAGGAATGAAAAATTAAAAATAGTTTTAAAATAAAGCTTAAACGATTCCATAATGATTAGAAAAAACAGAAATCAAATTCACTTAAAAACTCCAAGATATCGTTGGTTCATGAATCATGATAAAAAATCACTCTGTATAAATTAAATGCAGGAACGCCATTTTTTAAAAATATCGCAAAACCATGTTTTTCAAAGAGCCACAAAGGTTAAGATAAAAAAATAACATACTATAGTACTTACAAAAAACTATTGAAGTTTTACACAATCCCTTTTATTTTTTACCTCTTAGATTATTTCCTCCTAGGCACTTATAACAAAACATTCCGTACCTTTTTTAGTTAAGACGATGTGATCGTATAGTTCTAAGTTTTTCTTTTCTTGTATCGTACATTACTTATTAACTTTTTATTTAATTTTGTCGCATGTATTATTAATACAATAAATTATTTACATTATAGTTATAATAAACAAATGGATGTTTCTTTTTAAATCAATTGGTTATTAGCCCCCAGTCACTCTATAATAATAATAATTTTAAAAAAATCTATGTCTTCGTAAGTTTCATTTTTTAAATAGAAGAGGATAAATACAAAGTGCCGTTATTCAACGGTAAGAATACAATTTAATAATACAAGTAATACAATTTTTAAAATAATATTTTCTACAAAATAGCTATTTTGAAAATTCTCTAAAGTGAATAAATAAAGTGGTTTTTTTTTATGTTTAAGGGATGAAAATAGAAATTTAATTTTTATCCAAATCGATGTCCCCTTCGAATAGACCGATTGTAAAAAAAAAAATTTAAAAAAAGTATATATTTATAGTCAAATTCGTAAAAAAAAATAGAAAAATAGAAAAGTCCGTCGAACGAGACATACAATTTTAATAACATAATAATATTGAAAATTTATAAAAAAAATAAAAATATAAAAATAAATAGATATGTAATTTTCATTGAACTTTATTATGATAATATATAGAGTTCAATGGAAATTGTATTTAATTAGATAACTTACAACCCATTATATTGTACTGTTATTTTTAATTTTTAAAAGCAAAATGATTTCAAAGTTTCTACTGGGAATTTTTAATACTAAACAATTATCTGTATATCTATAATAATATTATATATTATTATTATGTTAATATATTTCCAATAAATTAGAAAATAAATAATTTAATCATATTCTTTGTCTTTGTTATTTTTCTGTGTACTTTATAATGCAATTTAAAAATTGCCTTCAAATTAATTTTGTACTAAACTAAAATACACACAAATTATCTACTTAATAGGTTTATTATCAGAACAAACAATATGATATTATAAATAGTATAACAAACATAGTACTTAAATTAAAATATAGTAGTAACAACTCAATAATAACTATAGGTATTTTAAAAAAGTATAACTTAATAATGAGTATAGATACTGAAATTTAAACAATAAAAAAACGAATATTATGCTTATTCACGCATTATAAAATGCATGAATATGTAAGCATATATTTCATAGTATATTAATGAAAACTGTCCAAGCTTTAATTTAGCAAAACTATTTTTGTTTGATAATCGGTATTATAGTACCAATATTATATTATTTATAATAATGTTTTTGTCTTCTGATACTCTTAAAATGATTGCAATTGCAAGGATCCACTGAATAACTCAAAATTATATAATAATATATGTATATTATGGAGTTAGACGGTATTTGTATAAAAATCGACAAGAATGATTTACCAGAAATTTATATTTGTGATGGATGTAATAACCAAACAAAATAATAATTTTGTAACTTAAATAATTTGTACATAATATATATACTTAATAGTTGCATACGTTATAAGGCGCAAAGAATGCGAGTAAAATATAGATGTGTAAAAATTGTTCTGACCTACCCACTGTGTCCAGGTGGGGGGGGACTTTTTTAAAATAATTCTCATAAAAATCTACAAACATTTATGAATACATTATTCAAGTTTCTTTATTATTATTTCCATTTTTTTTCCTAGTATTTTAATAAGCATGATATAATGAAGTTATTTTTTTTTTTAATATAACATACAAATAGGTAATATAAATATTAAAAGTAAAAAAACTAACATTTTGTTGTATTTTTTTGTAATTATACATTGCATTTTTTTAATATTAGATGGTTACAATTAAAATATATAGGTAGGTATTTAAAAAATGTTAGTTTCTCTTAAAAAAACAAATAACAAATCGATTAAAATATTTATAAAATTAATAAAAACATTTTTAATCAATTAATAAAAATATGTATTCGAAAAACATTAATTTTTCATAATATTAAAATATTTATCATACGATTACATTTTTTTTCGTAGGTATGTAATTTGAATAACCCATGTTTTATTGTAGGTGGTTATCCGCTGCGTTGCTGCGTATAAAAACCGCGGCTAAACAGCTCCGTGTATAACCAGCATTAGAGTTTAGACTATAAGTAGGTACCTACAATATTACGATATAATCGATAACATTATATGGTAACGATAGTAATATAATATTATGAATTAATAACCCAAAAGGCACCCTCCCACCTATTTTGGTGTAAATTAATTGATTAATTAAGCGACTGCTTCAATAATAAACCCTCTCGCCGCCACTGCTGGTACATAAAACAAAATACATAAAACTTACTCTGCTATTTTTATCTGTATCCTATAATCACTTATTAGCCCTGGTTAAAGCATTAATAAAAAACTATAACTAAATAAGCCGTAGAAGCGGTAGTTTTTTTCTATCTAAATATTATAAATAAAATAATGTAATTCGTGAATGTCAAAATACATTTGAATACTATTATTAAATTTATTGACACAAAAATTATCGTTACCAACATTATATGTGTTTCATCAAATGTTAATTATTGTATTATTATTAATGTATTACCTATTACCTATTGGAAAATTGATTTTTGGGTATAGGGTCGACCATATACCTAGGGATAATTATTCCCATGGCTAAATATATAGGTATGATTACAACTTTGTGATACACAGGTTATAATGGCCGCCACTCGCAGTGATTCCAATTTTATTTCAATCAAGCTGGTAATAAATATCACTGCCAACTGAGATTTCTCGCCATGAAAAGCTAAGGAATAAACAGTTGTGATCATACCTATACATCACGGTTAAAGATAGACTTATCTTAAACCGTGCTATATATTTAGCCATGATTATTCCTTATCTAACTTATCTTTTAGTTCAATGAATTCTTCGTGGTTTGGTGGATTACGCCAATACACGAGGTTTTATGATAAGGTAAAAAGTAACGTTTATTTACAACATAAAACAAGTGATCGCCAGCTGACGGCTTTTGACGGAAGAACAGGCGAGCACACAATAATTAAAACAACATTAGTGGTAAAAATCAATAATACATAAAAATAATTAGGAGTCGAAAAACAATGCTTCGCGTATGGTGTCGGTGCGGAAAGAGCGAGAGGAGCAGTCGAGCGGAGCTGTGTGCAAAAACCGTTACACCGGTGGTGAGGGGCTTGGCTGACGTCCGCCACAAGCGACGCGCAGCGGGAAGGAGAAATGTGGCGCGAAACCCGCCACAGTGGTATAATCTTGATAAGCCATGATAATAATGATGATATAAGGCATATTATCTTTATCTTGTATGTCAAACACGGGGCACAAATAGAATTCTGTGATAATATTTTTCCAAATGATCACGCCGTATGTTACAATTTTTAAGGTTATGAACTTATGATAATCACAAAGAAAAACTATAAAATCTACAGCAGCTGTTTGTACTGTATGTAGTCTGTCTGTCCGTAATTGTACTTTTCTATATTTAGGTAATAATATATATGATATTAATTTTTACTATTTAATATTTACGATATCTGAATCGATTTATTATTACACTCGTTTGATTTTTGAGTGTCATAATTATAATATTTTGTATTATTTGTCAACAATGGCGCCAAAGAATTCCAAACGTAACGCTTCTGATGACTCTTCTTCCGATTCAGACGGACCACTTGATGTAAGTTATTTTTAATTTAAAACGGGAAAATTGACATCAATATGTTGTCAAACTATTAAATGGGAAACAACTAAATAAGTCTGTCTTTGTCTAGGAATATTTGTTTTGTGTTAATACTAAAAAAATGTTGAAGTATCTTGGTAATCAAATGAGAATTGTGTTAACTTTACTTTTTGAAAATCACGTACTTTTTTTTAAATAACCATTTATGAAACAGTGTAAACTACATACCAATTAATGAATTATTAGTTTTTTACTTTCTGTGACCATCTAGGTACTTATTTTTTTTTTCAACAATTCCTAAATTATAAAATTTCAATAAACACTTATTGATATTTCAAGCATTATTTAGTATTTTATAAACATACTGATAATTAAACTCTAGGTATTTATTTGAGTTTATTCTCAAAAAATATAATGTTAATAATTTTATTTTAAATTATTAGCAATCATTTTTTTCTACTTAGTAAATATTGTTAAATCTATAGATATTTAATTCAAGGTTTAATAAAATTGTCAGTGATTTCATTATGATAGGTATTAATTTATTTGTCTTAAATGTATGTAATATACCTACCTGTTTTATGGCATACCTATAAGTTTATTAAACACTAACATATATATTTTTAATATTAAGAACCATTTCCCATTAATCTATTGCATTATTTATAACAAAAAAATGCATCATTGATAACTTTCATTTAACTTGCAATTATTTTTTTTTACTTGTATTTTGGACTTGTCTCGTAGTTATTAATAATTAAATAAACAACATTTAAAGGCAATTTAACAAGCTACTTAAAAAAGTTAAATTTAAATAAATTTAAAGTACTTATAAAAATAATAAATAGATTATTCTTATACGAAGTAACAATTACGCAAGAATAATTATTTTACTACTGTGATTTCAAAAAAATATCACTAATCCAAAACTGAAAGTATCTACACATAAGTTTATGTGGAAAATATCTACTTATCTTAAAATGGTTTTCAACACTTATAATTTAAATTAAATCCTGTTTAAAAAGATGAAAATCATTTACTTATTTAACAACAATATACTTTATGAAAATATTTTATTTTAGAGAAATCCTCCTCCAAAGAAATCTAAACCAGCTGTTGCAAAGAAATCCAATCAAGATGAAGTTTCTTTCGAACTGGATAAAAATCGTTTTGTTAAAGTAAGAGAATTTAAGGGAAAACTGTTTGTAGATATACGTGAATTCTACGAGAAAAATGGAGAATTGTGTCCAGGAAAAAAAGGTATGCCAAATTGCTTCTATACCAAAAATACAAATATTAATTAGTGTATTATTGTTATTATTGTGTTTTTATAGGCATATCTTTACATATTGCTCAATGGAACAAACTTAGAGAGCAAATTGATGATATCCAGGAAGCTATTGAAAAATTCTAAAAAGTTAAAGTTCAACTACACAATGTTACTTATTGTATTAACTTTGTTTTACTCATTTCAATAATTTTTAGTTTTTTTTTTTTAATTTGTGCGTCTAAGTTTTTTAGGTCTACCATACTATAAAACCATTGTGTTATATATGTTAAACTAAATTTGTTTGTACTATGTTCTCCTAAAGTCAATAATTATGTAATATTATTTATGAAAAGTACTATAAGTTAATATTAATTTCAGTTATTATAAAAAAAAATGTAATGTTTCATAATATTCAAATTAAATAAACTAAATATTTATATTTTAATAAAAATATTATCTATTGTAATTAGGAAAAGTTAGGTTATACCCATATGATAATAAATTATTAAAATCTAAAAAGTTGGTCAAAAACTACCAGTTTTCTATTATTATTATTACCTATTGTATATGTCATATTTTTTGGTAATTTAAACACAAGTAAATAACACAATAAGATTTATACAATTACATATATTAATAGGTCTTTTTTTAAATTTTTAATCCATGTTATCGTTTCGGCTTCTGCTTTAAATTTTTTTTTAATGTCCTTCAAATTTGGTTGACTTTAGTTAATATTAAAATTTGTTCGGATTTCCCTAGAGTTTAAGAGTTTATTGTTGGTCATTCAAGTTTTAATAAGGAGGAATGTATTTAAGGCAAGTCTTGATTTTGATGTGTAAAATACAAAATATTATTATACATTTTTTTTATTAAACTTTATTAAATTAATTGTTGGCCGCTTTTTGTGTCATTAGGAATAATAAATTATCAATTTAATATTAACTCAAAAATTTTACTGTCTAGTAACTGCTGAGTATAGACTTAACTATTATTTGTATCTTATAGTTCAAATCATATGATAGTATAAAATTCTAGTTTACCATCCCCAGAGATTTTCTAATTTGTTTTTCAATACATTTATTTTTGGATATTGAATACGATTGTATGATCAGAATTTTGTTTTGATTGTATATAATTTCAAAGTATTAGCACTTTGAAGTTAATAATATTAGATTGTAATGTGATAGTAAAAAACACTAGTTATACATTTATTTTAAAACCTAAATAAAATGTTTAGACTATAACAACGGTGTAATAATAATTTGGTGGTTATATTTAGTTTTTGAGTTATCAACATTCACGATTGAATGGAGGTGGCCAAATACATATATCATAATAATAATGAAAAGTGCATTTATAAACTGAAAATTAAAAATCTTGAATATAACTATGAATTAGTTATCTGGCAAAGTATCTGAACAAATGTACTATATGTTCTTCGGTATTTCTGAGATGGCAGTGGTGTGAAACTCTGAAACGGGGTATCGAGGCTAATGTTTCTCTTCAACTGATTACATAAATAAAAATATGTTTTTGAATTTTAAGTTATAGATTCTTGATAAAATTCAAAATCTATTTTAAATTGTTTTTCATTTAAAAGTTTGTTACTATGAATATAAATTAATTATGGCACAAATACTAAAAAAATAACAAATATACTGTTCCACAATACACAGTCCAGTATAAAATAAATATAATTACTCTGATTAAAATGGTAATTATCTTAATACACAATACCAAAAAGATGTGAGATTTCCACATATTTCCTAAGAACTATCCTCCGAGGAAAAACCAAGAATAGGTACATATTAAAAATGTTGCTATTAATACTATTATTTTATGTAGTAAACATGTTACAAAATACAATTTTATACAGTTTAAAACAAGTAATTTTGATAAAAGTACATATTAGTTGATAGTTTAAGATTAATGTAGTTAATTATTACATGTTGGCCAATTTATAAGATTGAGATATTTATTTAAAATAAGTTGTAACTATTGTTTTATTACTTATTCACCGATGATGCAAGTAAAATTTCCTTACAAAATTTGCCAAAACAATTTGAACATTCATCTTCGAGTCCATTAAAAATGAAACGTACGCAAAGATCTATTAGGCCTGCTAGCCGGAACTTCATATTAGACAGGTATTAAAAAAAAAATCAATTATTTAAACCGATTTTAACATAATAATTATCTATTAAAACAACACTTAAATATTTTTAATGCTAATTTTATGGAAAATGATAAATCACCAGATAGAAAATTGACCATGTCTCAAAGAACATATATGGAAAAAAAAATCTAGTAGCATTATACTGGGGATTGACAAGCATAAACAAAATAAATTTTATGTAAAAATGTAATAATTTGGTATATAATTATTGATAATAATAATAATTGTAAATAATATATGTGATTCTAAAACAAAGTCATTACAGAGCTTTCTGATATTATGAGGGTTTCATTTTAGGAAGTCTTCGACGTTTATTTCATTATTTTAGATTCTCAAACATAGGTTTATCAATTTTTCGGTAGTTTGGGTCAACCCGGAGTTTTTTCTTGGGTTGAATAGCTTACCTACATTATTAAATACCAACTTTGCCAAATCTGCAGATATTTCATGTTTAATTTTTCGATCTGCCAAAAGTTTAACCATTAGGAATTTATTTCCGCAATTTCTCAAAGAAAACTAAGTTTTATTAAGTAAATAAATTTGACTACAAACTGAAGAATGAAATTAAAGGTCATAGCGTCTTTCTGTGTAAATAGATACTTACGAAGAGCAAATTATATTTCTAGTTTATAGGAATATATTACTTGGTAAGTAATTAATTTTTAGTTCCCTGTTAACACATCTATTTTTTTTTTTTTTTTTATTAGCTTCTAGTAAAAACTATGACAGCTCGACACTTAAAGATTAACACAATTATACAATAAACATAAAGAAAAACAATAAGTAATGACAGATTGACAAAAACTATATATATAAAAAAAAAAAATTTACATTGTATCAAATATGGGTATTTAGATAATATTCTTAGAAAAAATCTAAAAACAACTTAAACTGCAAAGCCAGCTTCCAATAGAAAGTAGTTATTTGCTTAATGACCATTTCAGAATGGGTATTAAGCATTGAAGGAAGGTGAGGTGAGACATTTAAAGATTTTAAATTATTGAACAGTGATAAACGTTTAGTATAAAATGAAGGACAGCCAAATAATAAATGAAAGATGTCACAGACGCTTTCGGTTAAATGTAGTGTACAAAAGGGAGAATTATTTAACCCAAGTTTATATGCATGATCAGGAAGAAGCGAATGGCCCACACGAAGGCGGTTAAAACGGACTATGGTAGACCTAGGTAGATCTAAATTAAAAAACCAAGTTTTTTTATTAGAGATGGAGGAAGCAATAGATTTATATTTGGAAGCAAAGTGAGCCGGCAAGTTATTCCAGTAGTTGGACCAAAGACAGGTAATGTGACGGCGAAGTAAAGGGGTAAAATCGGTCCAAGGTAATTTAGCAAGAGGAAGAATAGTATTGGAAGTAGATTTGGCGAGTCCGTCGGCCTTTTCATTACCGTGTATACCGACGTGTCCAGGGATCCATATAATTTGAATTAGGCGATTAGACTGATTTAGGAAAAAAGATATGATTTAATTTGAAAGACTAGAGGTGAAAGTTTGGCATATCAATATGGTTATTACTTTGTTTTCTGAGGTTATATCATAATATGATTGTAAAAATATTAAAGAAAATTAAATTTGATAACGTACATAAATGATAACAACAAAATGATAAGCGTATTGCTCTACTGTAACCTAACATCCTTTTAGGTTTAATATATATCTGAAATAATCAACTGTTGACTTAATCAACTTATCAAAATTTGATAACAATTTAGTGTCTTTCTGTCAATTTAGGAAACACACATTGTGCAATTAATAGTGTATTTTAGCATACTTTATACTTTCATATGTAAAAATTGAAGATTTTACAAACACTGTAAGTATAATTTAGTTTAATTAATTTGTGTAACCAATAATACTATTGCGTAGACAATTTTCTGTACTTCAAAATATATACATGTATATAAAGTTTTACGTGTTATAGATTTGTTAATAAATTGTTTTATAACAAAAAGTATAATGGGGTAAAGTTGTGCATTTGTTCTGGGGGAATTGTATCAACTACAAATGCTCATAAAAAATGATGCGTGTAATGCATACTCCGTTCCTTTGGAAAACAATTAAAATTTTTTTTTTCAGGATCCCTTTATTTTTTTCATTACTATAAGAAAGTAATTTAGGTTAAACTTGGTGATGATTACTTACCTCCTTCCCATACCGCAAGAGAGTTGAATTTTCAAAAAGCGGGTAGTTTAAATGAAAATATATAGTATTTCCCAAAGAAATGTATAAGACCTTAATTGTAAATTGTCCATATAAAATTTCTCGTAAACCGTAATAGACAAAATATTTATTAATAGAATTGTTCACCATTCTGACTAAACATTAATGTAAATTCCGATATGCCACTTATTCCAACGATATCTATACCTTCATCTATTAATGTCCAAGTATTATCACTAGTAAATGAACCAATATGTAGTATATGTAAAATTAGATTTGAATTTACTTTACCAATTTAATATATTTCCGTTAATATCATGTATCGGTATGTACCTAATAACTTATATTTATATACTTATTAGTAATGAGTAGGTATTTAAAATAAATTGCCGCAGTTTGTATAATGTTAAATTTGTTTTTACCACAGTTTACATATCGATTTTAGGAAAAAAATAAATTTTGCCGCAGTTTGCAATCTCTCGTTTTTCATAAAGCATATTGACTTAACTAAAAAAAAAAAAAACATAATGTACTTAATTTTTCATAGTTACTAATAGCTGTACTAAAATGATTTAAAAAAATTCCCATTTGAATTTTACATCATCTTATTTGACGTACCCTTTCCTTAATATTATCGTTGATAACATAACAATCATAATACTGTATTATAATATTCGCAATAATATATTTATCTAATTTGGTTCACGTAATTTCCTATATAGTGCCTAATATATAATATTATTACCTACTTAAAACATTGTAAGTCTGGGGCTCATTCGTTATAATTATTATTATTGTTAGTTTGATCGAGATTCGTGATATCTGTTCATTGAAGTTGTAAGTAGGTACCTTTAATCGTCGATATACGATTTGAAATTGTTCGCGTTTGTTATTAGTTTATATAAAAATAGACAAATAAATTAGAAGTGATTATCGAATAGGTATTTTTAATCAGATCGGAAGAGTTACAACTTCCCTGTTTAATTAAGCTTTCTTTAAACCGAAAAATGGTATTGGTATATGCAAACTGTTCGCCTTGTTAATAGAGAAAGTGCGGCGTTGAGCTGTGCGCAAATGTTGCATCTTTTTGGGAAAGATTGTTAATTAATAATTCCTATTAGAGTGGTACAAGGTTAGGTTATGCTTATTTGCCTCATTTCTATGATCTAAGCACGATTAGATGTATAAAGGTATTATTAACGATTAATTTTAATAATCTTTAATCGTGGATCTAAATTATTAACATAATATAAACCACGGTCTAGAACCATGCTCATTATCAATTGTGATTATAGCGCCTCTACATTTACTTTATCGCAAATAGCGGTACTTACTACTTAGTATTAGATTTAATCATCGAGATAAATAAATAATACAATACAATAGTATTGTTTATCTATTTCGATAGATTTAATAAAGAATTAAAGTGGATATGGATATCCACTTTGGAATAAATATTTATTATCTATGCCCTATCGTATATTACCAAAATCATTCTGTCTAAATCACGCCACATTTGCATAGACATAATATTATTATCTATATTGTTATGGTTCACCTTATCAGATAATAATAATAAATTATGTAAAAAAAATTGAATAGAAATATTAAAGAAACAATAGCCGTGATGGACAAAAAAAAACCGACTGAAGAGAAGACAAGGGAAGAAGTCGAGGCTGAACGAAAAGCCAAGCGAGCAGCCAAACAAGAACGAAAGAAAGCAGCGCTGGAAAAACATAAGTCTGACGAACCAGATAGCCTACCAAAGCCGAAAGACCGATCTTTGGAACCATCTAAAAAGGTTAATACTAATGAACTTGTCAAAGAACCAAAACCGGTGAGTAAAATAAACGGTACATCATTTTTTGGTAAAGTCCATTCTGTTGTTTATCGTAATATATGATGCAACTGTTTACCCCAAGACTATATGAGCACAGTAAATCTTGCGTTAAGGGTCACCTCTAAAAGATGGTCATCTCTGTGTAATGGTCATTTTTTTCGGTCTCATCAAGTGGTTTGCCTCTATAGGAAACCTTTAAAGGCAGTCTTTATTTCCGGTCACTTTGATAAAAGTTTTACTGTATTTTCTTATTATTGTTTAATTAGTTTCAATTGATATTTTCTCTATATTAAAAACGCTGGCGTATCAATGTAATAAAAATAATAATGCGACCATAGATTTCTTAAAACTAAAAAAAAAAATTGAATGTTTTCACTAGAAAATTAAGATTATAACATAATAGTTACTGATTAAATCCTTTTATTTCTCTCTTGGTTACAATCCTAAGACTGGTTTGCAGCTAATTTCTATTCTTCTCTTCTATCCACCTTCCTTTTCATTTACACACATGAATCACATCCTTGATCCCTTATTAATTGTTGAATATACCCCAATCTTGGCCTTCCTCTATGATTTTTTCCTTCCACATTTCCTTCTATAATTAATTTTAATAATCCTTCATGCAAAATTGTATGTCCTATCTATTCATTCAGTCTTTTTACTGTACTTTTTCATAATAGTGTTCCTTTTGACATTATTTCAAGAACCTCCTTATTAGTTATTTTATCCATCCAGCTTATTTTTAACATCCTCCTATAGCCCCACATTTCAAATGCTTCCTATGCTTCCTAAATTCAGTTTCCTTGGTTATTTTATTGATATTATCCAGGTCTCACACTCATATTGGGCTATACTCCATTCATATTCTATATACATTAATTTTTATCAGAGAAAACATCATGTTGCTGATACTTGGGATGATAATGCGGTGATATCCTGCTGCCTTCCATATCAGTAGCATTTCTTATTACTAAGGAATGCCGTTCAAGCATAAATAAATTAACACTTGATACTTGTAGCACTGCTCCCCACCACTTGGTCCATTTTAGTCGCCTCATACGACAGGCATAGACTACTGATTAAATATGTACTCCTAATCTTAAAAGATAGTTATTTAGTACTTAAATTTTCCCTCAATTATATCGTTAACTTTGTATTAATTTTTAATAAATACAGAGATAAATACCTAAAACAAGACTATACATTTAATACATATATTTATGTCTTTATTATATATTTTTTATAATGAAAAAATAAAATAATTCTATTTTATCTGAACATTTTATTAGTATTGTTAATCTGTAGATGAACCTACCACAATGTGTACAAAAATTATTTAGGTTAGGTACCTAGATAAAAATATAAATATAATTTGTACTTATTTACACAATTATTTTAAGATGTTGTTATTCAAGACAAAAATATAAATAAATTTATTTTAAAAAGATAAAAAACAAGTTTTGGATAAAATCAAAAAAAAATAATTAACGCCATTTTATTGGTGTTAGATAACTAGGAACATTAAAAAAAAACTTATTTAGAAATAAAATAGTCTACACAAAAGTGCACCATAAGTTTATATGTCTAGTAATGAAAATGATAATGGAAGATATTACTAATTTCACTTATAAAGTTAACATAACACGATACAGTTGACTTTGGGAGGGGGTGGCAGTCTAGGCTTTTTGATTCCATTAAGAAAAGATTTATTTCTCTAATAAAGTTTGTTAAAGAACAAATGTACAAGTTAAGACAGTAGGTGTTTTATCTTTGGAAATTTGTTAAGACTTTTGTATTTTAACTGGGAGATTATTTACCTCATACGACTGATAGAAAGTTAAGTAACATATTTTCTTAAATTCACATATTTAATTTGTACTTTTACTATATTTGTATATATTTTCTTAATAAGTTAAATTAGGTTAGGTTTTATATATTTTTTTATCTATATATATATATATATATATAGATAATCTCTTAATAAGTATATATATCAAATTACATTTTTTTTAACTTGTGGCTGTGAACCTTAGGAAGTATCTAAGGCTGCTTTTAAGAAGTCTTTAGTTCAAATAGCCGATGTTACACCCAAGACACCTTCAATTAAAAAAATCAATGTAGTTAAAAAGCTAACAAACGTAAAATGTAACAAAAATAAGGAAAATATTATTGCTGAAAAAGTAAGTGTAAATTTGTATGAACTGCAACTGCAATAATAATAATTATTAATATTATAATATTTTGGGTGTTATCTATTTAGATTGGAGAAATTCAACCTTGCAAAACGGTTAACTCATTAAAGAAACCTTTAGGAACAGTTATACACAAAGTTAAATTGTTCAATCATCTTTATTTTGATACAGTATCTTTGATGGCAGAAAATAAATTAAAGTAAATAATTTATGGTTATATCAAATAATTGTTTAATAATTTGCACAATATTTATAATTATCTAGAATAAATTCTGAAAGAGTACATCCAGCTTTTATTAAGTTTGGAATTCAAATGAGAACTTGTATAGTAGTAGGTTCTAATGCTAGATGTCTTGCTTTCTTATGTGCACTTAAACAGGTAGGTTGTGTGTACTGATTTTCTATATTGTGTCATATTTAATAATTGATATTTTGCAGACAATTTCAGATTTTTTAACACCTGAACACAAACAGTTTTCTCGATCTTTTGAGGAACACCTTGGCCCAGCTATTGATTACCTGAACACTAGCCGTCCTTTCTCAGTTTCTATGAGTAATGCACATAAATATATTATGTGGCACGTAAAACGATTACCAAACAATATTTCAGATGGTCAAGTGTGTTCATTTTTTATTACTAATTATAAAATTTTCTTATTTTTATTTACAAATTAAATTTTTTTTGTCAGGCAAAAGAGAAGTTAGAAAATGTTATAAATAATTATATTTATGTCCAGATACATATGGCTGGTAAAGCAATTTGTATCGCAGCACAAAATAAAATAGCAAATGGTGATGTTATACTTACCTATGGATAGTAAGTATTAATATTATTTCTTTAAAAAAAATTGATACATTAATTTGTATATATATACAGAGTGTTTCAGAATATAATGGGCAACTCTATAGGTGGTACTCCTTATGTGGCTCTACAGACTAGATTATATTTTTTCAATGTCAAAACTTGGGTTTACCAGTTTTCTTTAGAAAATATTTATAAAAAATAAAAATAAAAATAAATAGTACCAGAGAATTTCTTGCAAAATTGTCTTACCGAAAAAATGAGTTCTGTAAAAAACTGCTATTTTTGGTTAATCATGTCCAAAATCGTAATTTATTTATTTATTTTATTTTATATAGAGTAAACTCAATTTTACAAAAAGACATTACAGCAGCAAAACGTATGTTATACATCAGTATACTAAATTAAAATGGTGTAATAATATATTATATAATTAATATATAAATAATAATAATAAAACATAGCAAACAAACATATAAAAAAATAATCCACATATTGGTATATCAATCAATTACATAAACAAGCCTAATAATTAAATAATATCGAAAATCCTTAACCTTAAAAATAGAAAACATACTATTTAGAGACCTTAACTTATATCTTTAGATACTTAATAATAAAAAATATTATATAAATTAGTAATAATATGAAAGTCAATGTTTATAAATTTAACATTGAGTTAATATCATTTATTGAGCAATAAAATAAATCTAAATTTAAATCTAATTTTCTATTTCCAGTTATCATTAAAATATTAGCTGAAGAAGAAAATTAATATTGGCTTTAACATTATTAATAAAAAATGGGTCTTTATTTCTTGAGTTTTTATAATTAATTTTTCTTGTAATTGAGGGCAATGCACCTTATTATGTATTAATTTATAAAGGAATATTATATTGAAGTACTGTCATTTTAAATGCATTATTCATGAAAACAATTTAAATCAGATTGTAAAAGTATAGTATCTGATTCAGAATTAATGGTCTTGAAAATGTTTGCGTCATCAGCAAATAGTAGTAAATTTGAATTTTTTTATGGCCAAGGATAAATCATTGATACAAATAAGAAATAAAATAGGCAATAAATGATTGTTTTAGGAATACTGGAGTTAACTGAAATTGAATCAGAGTACAAATTGCCATATTTTACTATTTGAAATCTATTTTTTAAAAAAGATTTAAATCAAGATAGTAGAGTTTAGTATAGATAGTATTGTTTAAAAATTGCCAGGTTGGTTACAGTTGATATTTTAGTTCTGAAGCCATGTTGTTCATTAATAAGTACACTATTTAATAAAGAAGCAAATTTATCATTAATTATTTTTGGAATAATAGAAATTTTAGATATTGGTTGATAATTTGAAATGGAAAAATGATCATCTTTTTTAAAAATAGGAGAGATGTAAACTGTCTCCAAGCCGTATAAAATTTGCCTAATTCTAGGGATTTGTGAAACAGAATGTAGGGGTTATGTTAATATGAAACGACAGTTGTATACAAATTTTGGAGAGATATTATCCGGTCTACATTGAGGATTTAGATTTAAAGTATCGAGTTCTTGAAGAATATCGTAGAGGGTAATATTAATGTTATATAGAGAAATATATGAATTAAATGGTTTGAGGTTTGTAGGAGTATTGGGGAAAGGTTTTGTATGTACATCCGAAAAATATCTGGCAAATAAATTGACCCTATATTGGCTATTATCAATTTGAACATTATCAAGATGCATTATACTTGGAATGGTGTTATTTGGCTATTGTTGAAAAATTACCAAAAAAGCTTGGGATTATGTTTTATAGATATTTGAATAATTTTTGGCTCTTAATGATTTACATTGAATTCTTAAATTAATGAAATTCAAGTAATCATTGAATGAGTTTGTTTATATTTAGAATGTGCTTTTTTTTTTTAAGTGATAAAGATGTTTTAAATTATTACTATCCAATCGTCCTCACTGCGAATGATTACAGGCGCTCCTCCGTATGTTTCAAACCACACCTTACACTCAGACTTAAAAATTTTAACTGTCCATGAAGGAGCCAAAAATGCCTATAGACTTTTCCGCGCGCGTCTTACAAACCACTCTAATCCATTAATCTGTGCCCTAAACTCCAATTCCATTCCAGGTAATCCACCTAGAAGGTTAAAGCGTAACTGGAACCGTGACCTGTAATAGCCCTCTATAGCCAGTAAGTGTTGCCGCTGGGTGATTACTTCTTCATGTCAATCTCGCCTTTTTTCTTTTTATTTTTTTTTTCTTATATAATTCCTCAAACATGCTTATTGTAAAAAGTGTATTTACAGATTGTATGTGTTATAATTAAAATTAAAAAAAAAAAAAAAAGTTATTACTAAACAGTGATGGAAAAGATGATTTTGGCGTGACACACGAATTTGCCTTTACATTTACCAGGGTTTTCCATGGAATTAATTATTTTGTATTTAATGCGTCAATGCCCATTGTAGTAAATATGCAACATGTTAAAATAATATGTTTCCACACTACATGCGAATTACTATAAATGCGTTGCGCCGTCTAACATATAGTTTAAGCCCCAATCTATGTTTTATATTGATACACAAGCGCAAATGTTATTATTTTCCATTTTGTAACATGTTTCAAACTTGATAACATAATTTAATGGTCTTCTTCTTTTGTGGTTTTTATTATCTTGATTTACAAAATGTACTTTGAGTGAAAAATACTATTTTAAATCATCAGAGATGAAACTTAAAATTATTATAAGGTGTATGAACATTTTTAGTCATTCATAACACACAAATAATTAATACTGCAGTAGTTTTACTGTAGTAATACTATTGTACTTTCGATAATTTTCTAATACAAACTCAAACACAAGATTTTTAAAATTATTTTTCCCAAATTCAGCGCATCAAAATTATTTTAAGATACTTTTTATGTGAAAAAAATTTGGGCATTGAGGGGTTAACTTCTAATTTAATTATTCTATTAAAAAATATGACTAATTTGACTATAAAAACATGACAATGTTTGAGGTCATTCTATCAACGACTTCTAAAATTTATTGGAGTGCGGTCTACCAGACAGTGCATACTTTTATATTGTGTAAAAAATAATATATACAAGTTATAACCAAATCAAATTATATTTTTTCAATTTATTCTTTAACATTAATGTATATTCTAGCATAAAAAAAAAATGAAAACTAATTTTAATTAATTGTAAATTTTTGTAATTATTTAATAATTTAATACAATCTGACAGACCGAACATAGGTAATTAAGGGTTAATGAATGTTGTATTAAAAAGTTATTGTAAGTGATTTGTTTATAGCTAATAATTATAATAAAAACAATTTAATTTTTGAATTTATTATGTTTTTAAAATGTATTTTATTTTTTGTTAGAATTATTAAATTAACACTTAAATACAAAAGAATTGAGTAATTATTAATTAATATAATTACTTAATTGACAATATTCTAAACATGAAAATAGTGGTAATTTATGGAACAAATTGATTGACCAGTTTTTGTAAAAGAATTAATTTTACTAAAAATTATCTGGTGCTATTTATTTTTATTTTAGATTCAGAATGAAAGGGGAAATATTGGCTGATTAATGTTTTTTTTTTTTAGTTTAGCTCTTTTTCTGAAAGGAACTCTGACTGGAGTAGTACTTTAAGGAGGTCATTTTATGATTTTCCCAAGGGTTTTTTTTATAAAAAAAAAAAAATAGAAAAAAACTGTAGAGAAACTTAGAAAATTTACAAAATGTGCTATTTTCAAATCTTAAATATTACGATCTTTCAAAACATTTATAATTAAACTTTGCTCAGAATTGTTTTCACTAGCAATAATAAACCGTTACATATACATTAAATTTCCTCTCTTTACCCAATCTTCCCAACTCCTAACCTACATCCGTAGTCAATCCATTGTGCGAAGTATATCAGTTTGTTTTTGATAAATATTTTTCAAATAATACAATTCTAATCAAAGTTTTGACATTAAAAAAAAAAAAAAAAAGAGCCATAATCAGAGTACCATTTCGTATGTTAGGACAGTTTGATACTGCTCTAGCAAATTTGAACTGCAAACACAATCAAATTATTTTTTATCTTTTTATCAATATTTTGTATTCAATTTATTATTATTAATAATTATATAAAATTTACGGGGGACATTAGGAAGAAACTATCATTATTATTATAACGTTCATATTCTGAATATTTTAAAACAATGATAATTCTACAAAAACAAATTTACGATTTGTTAAGAAAAATTTGTAAGGATGGCTTACCAAATAATTAAATTATTATTGTGAGAAACTACAGAACAGATAATAAATGAAAGTATAGAAAAGCAGACAAACTTTGCAATTCTAAGTACCATTAAAGTACCTGTCATGTACAAATAAATAAGTAATAATATAATTTTAAATAATCTTAATATAGTAATAAATAATAATTTGATAATTTATTTTGTATGGCGTTTTACCACGATTATTAAGTATACCATAGGTAACAATTATTAAAATTATATAATTGTTTTAAAATATCTAATAATAAATTAATAAAAAATATTGCACTCAAAATAATTTGTTTGTATTCGTGGTTCAAATTGTGGTATTCCATATTGTTGTCCATAATATATCTATTTTAACTAAGTTTATATTTCTACAAAATGCGTTTTTATTTAATGTATATACTTTTTGAAATTTAATATTTTCCTTAAAATTAAAAAATCTATTGTTTAATAAGCATTGAATTAATAGTTTTTTTTTTTTTATATAATCATCTAAAATGATTAATAAACATTATATGCATTATGAGCATTGTAAACGTAAAAAATAATTATATACTTTAAGGTAAATTATTTATTATTTTCAATTTAGTTATTTTGTACATTCAATTAAAAATATTTGTAAAAACTTAAGCCATTTATAGATATTTTAATTTTGCAAGTTTTTTTACATAATTTTCATTTGGTAGCTCCTTTTTAGTTACTTTAACGTTGATATCCTATATTATTGTCTGTAAATTTGAATTCAGGTTCAGGTTGAATTTGATTCAGGTTTAGGTCTATATTTAGATCATTAATGGTTACAATAATTGTGAAACATAATACGCATCTATATTATAATATAGTGGCTTGAAAATGTTCTAACATTGGGGATCTTATTGAATTTTACTTTTTTACTGATGTCATTCTACCTGTATAAATAATATCATAATATTATGACAATTTTCCAAACTTTTAGTAATGAATGCAATAAGTGAAAACATAAAATTGTACAAGGCCCCATTAACCTCCAAGCTCTATAAATTTTTAATTTGGTTCTGCTTATTTATTAGATACTAATTCTTTTGGTTTTAACTATCGAAATTTGTATAACAGAGCTCACTAATTTTTAGTTCTTCACTGGTTGAACGGATATTAACAGAAGCCTACTACAATAACAAACAGTTCAGTGTTATCATTGTTGACTCTGCACCATGGTATGAAGGCCGACAAATGCTTCACCGTCTTGTGCAGAATGATGTAAAGTGTACTTATGTGCTCCTTTCAGCCACTAGTTTCATCATGACCAGGGCGACAAAGGTACTGCTAGGTGCACATGCTTTGTTAGCCAATGGCTACGTAATGGGTCGAGCCGGAAGTTCTCAAATAGCATTGGTTGCTAAACATTTTAACGTACCTGTATTGGTGTGCTGTGAAACATATAAGTTTACTGAACGTGTGCAAACTGATTCGATTGTTTACAATGAACTAGGTTTGAATATATTATGTACACAAGAGCAGCACTGTGAGATCAGATTGACTTTAATTAATCTTTATTGTAGGTAACGCTCATGAAGTTATGCCCAAAGAACAGTGGTTGAATAATCGTTATTTGACTCCATTATGTCTTCGATATGACGTGACCACTCCAGATCTAATAACCGCTGTAGTCACAGAAATTGCTATATTACCATGTACCAGTGTTCCGGTTGTTTTAAGAGTTCGACCAAATGAATACGGAACATACAACAAATGACAAGTCTGACTCAAAAGCAAACAGCAAAAAATAATTATTTTATGTGTTTATTATTATATTTTTTTAATTTTTTCACTTTATATTGATTTTATTAAGATAATATAATTTATTTTCTGTTGTACAATGTTCCGAGTGTAAACAATATAATAACGACTTTTCGAGTATCAGTCAGTTTACTGCCCATACATACATACATACATAGTACATACTAAATTCAATGCAATAAAGCTAAATTTTGAAATAACATTAAACGTTGGGTAACAATATTGTTTGTTTTGGAACAATCTAATAATAATAATTCAATAATATATATACGAGCCACATAATATTGTATAATATATATATGTGAGTGTGTGAATATATATAATACATATATATTATGTATAATGATTAAAAAGAAAGTTAATTTTTACAAAAGTAAGAAATATTAGATTCGATTCTTAAACTAATTGTATAATACAAGTTATTAAAACATAGTTTAAAAAATTTGTTCATAATGTAGGCGTAATATTAATAATCGTTGTCTTACTTACTACATTACTGACAAATAGTATTATTAAAAAAAAAAAAAAAAATGACCAATGTACCAAAAATATGCTAAGTTTATATTATTATTTTCTTGTACGTTTAAGTATACAAAATTTAAAACTTTACTTTATATAAATCATTTTTATACAACACAATCTTAAAAAATCAAAACAAAAATTAACTCCGAGGAACTAAAAACTGGTAGCACTGTTTAACCTTTATATATATGAAAAATATACAAGTCTATAATTTAAAGAATAAATTATTTACATTCTTAATGACAGCATTAAAAATAAAATAAACAGGACTAATTTAAAATTATGATATGAAAAACAACAAAAATATATTTATAATTGTGTTTTTTTTTTACATTTTACACAAACACCAGACATGATTTAGTAAATTAACTTAATGAGTTATATTATATATACATATAAAAACAATTGGCAATTTCTGATTATTAAATACATAATCAATCAGTTTGTCACCCTAAAACCATGCATCAAGATTAGCAAAAAGAAAAACCGTATTAGAATAAATCTAGGGTTATCAAAGATAATTGTAAATTCACAAAGAAAAAAAAAATGGCCAATTCCTCTCACTTGATATCTCTGGCTCTCAAAAACAATACTATCTATAAACTAATAAAATAACAGTCAAAAGTCTGTCACAAATTATTTATTTATATAAACTATACACCAGGCACACATATAGGGGAGAATATAAAGGTTTAACCCTAACTTCCACTGAAATTTGAAAAACACATTATAATATATTAGTTATATAGTTAAAAAGTGTTAACTTATAAACCTCTCCCGAAATATTGTTCTATTTATGTGGCCTGATATATAACATATCCATATTATATATAGATAAAACCGCACAAGACTAATTTTTCATTTTATATACATTTAAACAGATAAATAATAGTAATTTTGCATACAATTTACAAGGCAATTTACAAAACAAGTTTTTTAAGTGCACACTTATTCAAACTATCACTTTTTTAAATCAGTAAAAAATATTTATGTTTCCTATTCTTGATGTGTTATTGCCAATAATTTTCAATTTGAATCCTACAAACATTTAAAAATAGTTACTTTTTTATAACTACATTTAAATATACTTTAAAAGTATTATGATAAAAAATTAGGAACCTAGAAAAATTGTTTAAACTTAAAATATTATAAATTAATCTCTTTTTGTTTTTAATATATTAATCATTATTTATTGTGTTTGCCCTATTAATACTTTAATAGTTATATAATAAATAAGTGAAATAATTAATAAAATTACAATTTTAATAATATACAAAAATAAATCTAATCTGTGTTGAGTTTGTTCAATAGTAATTATAATCATTGATCTAGTGTCTAATCTTGTGCAACATGAGTACATTTTCTCATCCTAATATCAAATAAAATAAATACAAAAATATACATAATGTTAAAAAAAGAAATAACTATGAATTGTTATAATCATGAATAAATTAGTTAGTTTTTTAGTATTTAAAAGTGATGTTTTCTTAGTTTGTACAATTATGGCATAAATTTGTACAAGAAAAAGCCTTTGTAGGCAACGGCAAGAATAGTTTTAGGAATATATACTTGGTCTTCAAAATGAACCTCAGTATTGCAAAATGAAAATCAATCGCTAAAGAACTTAGGGGTTTCAACAAATTAAAGTAAATAATTACAGTAAAAATACATAGTCAATATAAATTGACAGGATTTATCTTTAATGCAAATTAATGCCTAAATTATTTTAAAACTAGACATAAACATTTTTTTATATTAACATCATCACACTAAGTTATTTTTTTAAAATATATATATATTCCAATTTTTAAACTACAATAATTATTATATGTATATTATTATATGTTATTAATTTATGAAAACAATAATTTTTTTTAAAGTTAGATTAAAAATATTCTAAAATAATCTAAATACATTATACCCTATTTGATCGTCAAAACCACGTCAATTGTATAAATCATAAATTCAGATTTTTTTAAAACGGGTTAAATCAAAAAAGTATCAAAGATATAGTGATGATGTCAATAATATTAATTTGTTTGATAATAATGACGTTTTAGTTTAATACTAGGATATCAAACGCATATTATCTACAATAAAACAAGACTATACAAATTTTCTAATTCTTCAGAAATACCTACTCATTTAATACAGAAGAAATAGGTTTATGCTCGTGTGTTTTGCGGTGGACCCAGCATCATGGGCGTAAGGTGGGTTAATGGTGTTGGACCATCTGTACTATGCGGCGGAGGCCCCAAAAAGCGAGGCCCATTTTTGGTAGTTGGCAATATGCTGATTTCACGAGGATCAAATCTAAAAACGTTTTGAACTATCATACAATATTTACAATGCTTATTAGTGTAATAATACGTTTGGTAAGAACTTTTTTTTTTTTTTTTTATTAGAAAGATATATTTAAAAATTTAAGCAAACCATTTTCACAATCCATTATAACTTTAACTGTATTAAATATTTTAATTTTATTTAATACACATTCTATACCAATTTATCATTATAATAATATTCCGGTAAAAAATAACTATATAATACTTATTTTAATAAGGCATAAATATTATATATATATATAAGATGCTTAAATCTATTTTTTATTATTAAATAGTAGGACCAAAAATTAAAAAAAAAAAATTCAATTCACCTTTTTCAAAACAATAGAACTATTTTTTTTTTTAGAATATTTATATGAAAAAAAACGCAATTTTCGAAAACATGTTTTTCTTATTAATGTTTCATTTATAATCTCAGGGCTGCCACTTAATTATAAGGCTGTTAAAAGTGATTATAGTGAAGAGATTGTTTAAAAAAGTGAATAAATAGTAAACATTATATTTTTTTGAAATAATAAATTATATTTTAAAGTTAAAATTATTTGTTTTTAAATTATTTAATTTTAATATATCATATTACATTTTTTTTAAAAATATAAAATAACACTTAAATATTAAACAATGAAAGTGTTAATAACACTACAAAATTAAGTTCCTTGAGTGTACTACATCCACATTTCTTCTAGGTTTCATTTTATGATTATCATTTAAAATAAATATTAAAAAAAAGTCTAGTCTGTCACAAAAGTTATCACTTAAAATCACTTAATACAATCAAATAATGTTATAAAATAAAAATATGCATTTGCCATTTTGATATTCTGTAATAATAATTATTGAAAAACCCGGTATATGGTTTATGAGGAATATGCTTATTTCATGAATGATAAAATTAAAGGAACAAATTGCGCTTTTTGTGTTTGAATAATAAGATTAAAATTGAAGTAATTCTTTCCTCCTTTCTAAGAAAAGTAACAAAAATAGATAATAATTATAATTATTATACAATAAAATGTTTAGGAGTTAATTATTTTTCGTGTATAATAAGGTGAACACTTTGTTAAAATAATGCCAGATAGTGAAGAATTCATAAAAAAAGTTAATAATAGTGCACAAGTGGCAGCTCTGTAATCTTATTTAAATTAATAACATTTTAAGTGAAATGATTTTTGATAAGATTAAAAATGCAAAAGGTATAAATTATTAAGACTACTATAGCAATTTTGACTTTATTTGTAAGCATGGCAAGATCAGTAGCAGTCATGGAAGGAAATATATAAGGTAAAACTATTTTAAGGAAAGTTTAAATTTGAAAGGTCATTTTAATTTAATAATATAAAAAATCAATACAATTATTATTTTTAAAAATAAATCTAACGTGAAGTGCAAAATATAATTGTAATACATGTTTTTAAATGTTCATAAAATAATGTGTTTTAATCTACAATCTATTTTTTTTTTTTAAATATTATTATTATAACTTTTTAATTTTTTAATATCTTATTTTAATTACTTAGTTATTTATGACCCATAGGGAATTGAGGACTGAAGAAAATAATAAAAAAAATATTTTTTATTATTTAAGAAATATGTACGATCATTCTTGACTAAATTTTGTTTCTCTCAAGTTATCATGGATTAATAGTTAATACCTTATGCTAGAATAGTTGGTGTCTGATTGCATATAGGAACTATGTACTGGCTCATGATCAGTAGCTGCTGCTGCTGCTGCTGCTGCAGCTACATTGAATCGGTGGACTTTATTGACGTGTCTGACTAAAAAGCATCCTTTTACAAATGCTTTACCACAAAATTGACAACAATGAGCTGGCCCCAAGTCATGAGATCTAAGGTGTGTTACAAACTGGATCTTAGAATTAAATGATAGCTGACATTGTTCACATACAAACGGTTTTTCAGTCATGTGACTCCATCTAATTTTATTTCAAAAAATAAAAAAATAAATTTATGGAAAGCCATAAAAACAATGATGATGCAAATATAAATTTAAAAAAACATACTTATGAGAAATAACGTAGCTTTTAACTGCAAATGTTTTTTTGCAAATGTCACATGAATAAGGACGCTCGCCTGTATGTACTCTTTTATGAATGTTGAGGCTACTCTTTTGAGAGAACTTTTTTAAGCACAAATTACATTGATAAGGTCGTTCGCCAGTATGAGTTCTCATATGAACCTGGCAAAACATTAATCAATAATATAATAAATAGTTTAGTTTAGATATTCAATGAATAAATAAATTACAAATAGGTACATTATCATTTCAATTAAATTAATATAAGTACATTTATCAAATAATTTTATTTGTGGCAAGCAATTGATAGGTACTAAAAAATATATACATTTTTTAATTTAAATAAAGTAAGCATTGTAATGAAAATATTCATAAATCCAAACAATATTATTTTAAATTACCTAAACTATACGTATTTTTTTTTTTCAAATTAATATGAATATTGATTGTATTCAAACAATAAATACTTAAAGTAAATAAATATATAAATAATAACCAAATTATTTATATTTCTTAACATATCTATGTTTAATAAAAACTAATTTTAAATAATCTCTCATATTAAATTATTTCTATATTCTATGTAAAATAACCAATTTGTATTATTTTTTTTCTATGTATTATGATTGTATTATTAGATGTATTATCTATGTATTTCTATGCATTTAATTTTTTACATTTCGACTGTGATATATCTGATGATGAATTTTTAATTAGAAACCGGTCGTATAACATACTTATCATAATACTCCAGGCAACGCATTCATTCTTTCATTTATTTTATTTTTATATATATATATTTATTTACTTTATTTTTGAGTATTAACCACTTTAATAATTTTGTTTTTACTTTAATATATTATTAATAAGTACTTACTTCTAAATATGGTTTACGACAAAAACAAGCTTCACATTGTGTACAACGGTAAGGTTTATTATTTGAATGTGATTTGAGATGAACATAATAAGATGAAGTAGATGCTAGAACACGTCCACATATTCGACAAGCTTGAGGTTTAGATCGTGATACAGACGTTGATGTGGATACAGGAGTTCTGGTACTATGTTGATCATCACCATTGACAACAATGGATAAGGGTGGACTACCACAACTGCTATTTTGGTCGCTAATTACTTGTTCAGCAACTAAGCAAGGCCTTATCTAAAATTATTAAAAGAGCGCATAGAGTAATCCAATCATAAAAATGTAATTATACAGACGGGTTACTAACCTCAGAATCAACTTTGATGTTCTGTTTGTGAAGACCTAGTTGTTGCATATACTTAACAGCAGCATCGTGCTTACCAAGGTACTGTGGTTGCTGCTGCTGCAATTCGTATTCGGATGCTGTGAAGGGATGTGTTTGCTGCATATCGTGAAGAGTGTGTGCCGTTTTAACTCACAAACATGATTCAATATGTCCTAGTAGAAGAATAAACTTAAATGATAAAGGCATCAATATAATTTCATTAACTATAATAGTAATAATATTAGTAAGTGAGGTATAACAACAAGAAAACAGTAGACACTAGTAACAAGTAATTTTGTCGGAATCTAGGGGGAAAAAATAGAACGTTAACACATCCTTTTCTGTAGCATACAGTATATTTTTTTAAATTTTTTATTTTTTTTTTGTTAATAAATGATCAATTACAACACTCACCTGCTATGTATTAATTTTACGATCACAGTCGATTCTTCGGCGGAAGCCCGATCGGTTAGGAATTAATCAACAATATACATTCTGTACGTTTAACAGTAATGTGAATGTGCAACAGACTCAGTGCAGTTAATCGCGGTTTTATCGTCATAAAAAAATATTTATACTTTGATATAATATATACACGCACGTATCATACATATGTAACATATATGTACACATATATGTATATATATCGCGGTCGGTCGGAACGTTAACGTGATACGAGGTGTACAGGTATAAACATATTATCGTAACGCGTTAAATGAATATATGTATGTGCGGTGTGTAGTAGTTGTACGTATAGGTAACTATAAAAGAAGAAAGGAATGCAGCGGCTGCTCAGTAGTAGTAGTTGTAGTAGTAGTAGTGCCTATTTTATGATGGTTTCCGAATGGAAAAAAAAAAAAGAAAAGACAAAAAAAAAAAGAAGCCAATCGCCGCAAGCACGGGTACCGCCCTCACGAATAGCGCCTCCGAGTCGGTCGCCGCCGTTCGCCTTCGTCGCCCGCGATTGCCGCCGCCGCCGCGTTCAGGCGGTACGATTACCGTCTTTACTCTTTAATAATGATGATTAATATAATATTTAATACGGATGTATGTCGTCGACACGAAACGAAAGACACGATTGGCCATCGGAATTTGCCCGACGATTTACCGATAGGTATATTATGATTTATGTTATTAACATTATTATTGGGTATAATATTGTTATCCGTCGCACAATCGTATTTTAACAATGTTAAATCAAAATATTAAATCGCAACTCCCCTCATTTACGCGAATATGCTGTGACCGATGGAAAATAATCGATTTTAATGACAATGCTAATTGTCTGGTAGGTAGGTGGTAATCTCGACGAGCGGTTGTCACTCGTCGTACATAAAAATATATGTTCACAATAAAATGGAAAACAATTCATTATTATAGTTAGATCGTTCGTTCCATTATTGTTTTATTATCACTCGGACATAGTCTGGTAATTTTTCACACTCGTGAATCAATTGGGCATTAAAAATTCGACTACCGTCGCCAGTCGCAGGTACCGTGAATTGTGATTTCTAATACGCGTTATACTTATTATTATTATTATTTTTTTTTTTTTTCGTAACAATAAAAACCGAGTGAAAATAAAACAGTTGTATACACTCGTGCGGAGACGCTTATTGCTTTTCTTGTTGTCAATTGCCTTGGAAGAAACGATTACCATGAAAAGCATTTGTCGTTTTTCAGGTTAGGAATATCAATATTGGAGCGAAATTTGAATTTTGTTTTTCATTTAATCTATATAGGTACCATACAATCACCGTATTGTGTTGTAGTTTTTTTTAATGATTATCTAGGTAACTTATTTTGATGAGTACGTGTATTTTATTTTTATCTTTATCTAGATTAATAAGAAATGAGTAATAACTAATAAGGGATAAATAATTGAACCATCTAGAATCTAAATACTTACATTTCTTTAAATTGTAATTTATATGTTTAATAATACAAATAATTGGTAAAATATTTTAGTTTATAAATATGATTTACTAAATAAATTATTAAATTACATCAATAACATTATTCATGCGTAATCTAGATGTGTACCTACTAAATTTTACTGCTTTAAAATTTTGTTTTACGACAGGTATCTGATGAACAAAATTATCTTTTTTATTATCTAGATAAGTGTTCCTGATTATTTATCTTAATCGAATTAAATTTATTTGTTTTTTTTTTATTTATCTAATTTAAATTAGTATTTCTTATCTTTATCTAGATGTTTTTAAATTTATCTTTATACGACACTTCATCGTGATAATCGTAGTTTTACTGTTTAAATGTTATATTTATTAACTATGAATCAAATACAGGAAGCACTCAATATTATATGAATTTATGGGATCATCAATTTTTTCAAACGTAGATTAATACAATTATTATAAAAATATTATTTAACAAAAACTAATTGTGTATTAATTCTTATTTTTTTCAAAACTCCTCTGCAAGTTTTATTTACCCCTATGTTATGAATAATTTTTTTAATCGTATAGTTGCAGAAACAATACAAAATTTATCAATTTTAATTGAAAATAATTTTTAAGACGTTAGTAGGTTAATAGATAACTTAAATATTTTTGGATTTATGAAAATCTCAAACCTAAATATCTATCTACATAATTCAGTGTCAACGTTTAAAAATAAAGTAATATCATACAAGGGTTGTAAAAAGGCAGAATTTTAATATTGTTTTGTGTAATATTAAACAGACTTTATATAATCACCCCACCCAAAGATTCGTTATACCGACCTCCCGCTAGTTGGGCTAACCTAATCTAAAAATACACTCGATTATACTAATAACATGTGAATTCTTCCAGCGTATAGAACAGGCTACATTCGTCGAAGTTTTTAATACAACAAAATTAATAAGTAAGACAAATAATTGTTGTATTACTTGTACTTATCTATAGCACAAAACATACAAGAACTGTACGTAATATTTCACATTATTATTGTAAATAGCCCATATTTATAATTAAAAATAATTTGAAAAATCGTATACGACTACTTATGATATAATATTATTAGGTTGGTGTGTTATTTCTTAATTTTCCTTTTTAAAAGGTGAATTATCTTTAATATAGACATAAAGTAAGAGGTATGAGTATTAGTATAAGTATTGTATATTTACGTAATAAATGTTATAAAACATTTATTTAGAAAAAAATGTAGAAGTAATATGATAAATACATTACAAATTGGAAAATTACAAATATTTATTAATTAATAAGAAAATTGAAAAATTAATTGCAATCTCTTGATCTTTATTATGATTAGTATGCATATTGTTTTTGTTCCACTATAAAATTAATTAGATAAGTATTATATTTTATAAATAAATACTTAACACAAATGTATAATATAATTCATAAAGAAAAATATTTTCGAGAGTTGTATGTTGGATATTTTTAAAAAATTGCTATACGAACAAGTTTCAGCTAGGTATTTAAAAAAATAAAACTAACATTAACTTTTTTGGTATCATAATTTTTTAGAAAAAGCAACGTACAGCCTTCAAAAATATTATCCTTTTTTAAATATTAACGATATTTTGATATTCTATTGCTTGTTTTTTAAATTGAGACAGTATAAGCGGGTGTAGTAGCGTCTTAATACATTGCATTTAGTTAAATACATTAACTTACTAAATGGTAAAAACTATGACAAAAAGACTATATAAATAATTGTTCTTCACTCGTAATCTTAAAATAATAATATAATAGTCTCGTGTAAAAATAGATATAATTATCTTTTGTAAGAAAAAACAGTCGTGTATATTTAGTTGCCTACACATTTTATATTGTAAATGGAATTATTTATTGTTTTAATATTTAAATTATTATATTATTATTTATGTTTTTGCTCTCTCTTCCTAACAAAAAAATATAGCAAAATATTTTTATTTCATTATGTTTCGTGCGGCAAACCCATATAGTTATGATTAGGGCACGGATTTTTATGTAATAAAAAAGTAAAAATACGTAAATATTTGTTTTTTTTTTGCCAAAAATATGTTTTAAAAAACATGAAATATTTAACAAAAAAAATCGATATTTTACCACCATGTAAGGGTGCATTAAGAAATGATTTTTAAAACTTTTTCTGGCTAGGGTCATAAAGTATTAACAATTCTTCTTTTCTACGTATTATATTATTACCAGATGCATAAACATAATATATATATAATTATTATTATAGCAAGTAACAACCATGGACCCCGGAGGGACTAAAACACATTTTTGGTAAACTTCACCTATATATTATTTTTATTATGAGCTCTTGTAAGTTTGATTTTAGATTTTGAGTGTAGCGAAGAATGTATTGGTTTTACTAAGATGTTTATTTTTTTTTATTTTTTTTTATCCTGTGTACATTCCGTAGTTCCGCCTATGGTTTACAGTATCAACTCTTTACTTAAAATCAGGATTTTAAACCAAAATTAATTTTTGTGCTCAATGATTTTAATTTTTCCTTTATTTGTTTGTAAATGCTTGTCATAGCTGATGATTATACTTATATTCATTTAAGAGTTCGCGAGTTCAAACCCGTGTTTCGAAAAAATTGTTTGCATTTTTTTCCTTTTTACCTAAACAAGGAAAAAAAAATGCATTTTGGGTGTACCTAAAGACCCAAGTCATTGCTCGCTTGAAATATTTTAATTACTAAATACCCCTTGATTTGTTTTGCAAACTTTTCTACCAAAAATCTTGTTTCGATGTATCGAGTGTAATTAATTTTCTGAAAGGAAATTATATCTCCTTGATAACTTGGTGAAATTATTTTTCGATTTTCCCCAAGAATTTTTTCAGTAAATGTGAAATTTTTATCGTAATCTGATTTCTGAGAATTTTTATTATTAGTTACAGATTGTTATTCTTCGGTGTAGTATGTCCACAGTTTTCTTTTTTTAATATCAAAATTTAAAAATATGCCAAAGGCAAATATAGCACATTATTATGTAACCGAATGTCCGGGTATCTTTAAAACAGATGGAAGTGTATTATTTTGTATTTGTTGTGGTATCAACGTGTCATGTAATAAAAATTCACAGGTTAATCAACATTTAGATACTTCAAAACACATCGGAAACTATAAGTTGAAATTAAATAATGAACAGGTCAGTGAATAATTTATAAATAAATCGTTTACTCAAGCTAGAACAAATAACCAAAATTTAAATGAGTTTAACAATGATTTAACAACGTTTATGGTAGCAAATGATATTCCTTTATGGAAATTAAAAAATGTAGAATTTAACTCTTCATCCATTGTGAAAACAGACGTGGAAAGAAGTTTTTCGAAGTATAAGATGATGCTATGTAACAATCGTAGAAGTTTTCAATTTGATAATTTAAAAGAACATTTTGTTACATCATGTTCGTATTCATTTAATAATTAATATGCATTTTTACGCTATATGCACATTTTAAATATTGATATTTAAATTTTATATTTTTAAATGTTTGAGTGTATAAATATGTGTATATTTAATAATAATTTTTGCATAAAGATCCTTATATCTTGCTAATAGAGCCTTATTAATTTTATAAAATTGTATTCTTCTATTTTATTAATTGTTATAATTATCATAAACTTTATTACTTGTTCTCTGTTCTGCTATAAAATAAATAAATAAATACGTATTTTTATTGAAGATTAGACACATAGTATTATCAGCAGTATTGTTAAAATATAATTAGCCGCGTCGATCTATATTCTATTTTATGTTCAGGATTATGCCCACAAAATTTACTTTTTGGGACGGTGTGTAGATGTCAGGTTTTTTTAAGTAGAATAACTAGAATTAATAGGTCAATAGTCAATATTCAAAAGTATAATAATAATTAATATAATACATTTTTCAATTCAATACAATTTATTTACTATTTAATAAGCAATTATTG